CAATATTCATAAGATGCAGAGTTGATTATGATCTGTATATGGACTTAGATGGTGAAAATATTTTGCGATTTGACTTGTCCTCTCCGACAAGTCTTAGCTATCTCAACGGATCTGGGCTAAAATTAAGTTGATCGATACGAAAATGAGCGACGGAGTAGAAAATTCAAAATGCACAATCCGCTCTTCATATTTTTATAACATGTAAAAACGTGAAATTTAACTTTAACGACCCACAGCCGGTATTGCTTTTTTCGAATTCTTAATGTGAAATGCCAAAACAACATTAAATATACTCTCCTTCGCAGCCTAAAAATCCGAAATTGTGTTGTTGATTCGGCCGCCATGTTTAATTAACCTTGCAAGACAAATTTTACTACCGTCCCCGACCCGCTAAAATTGCAAATTTTGCTCGAAGACCAAACTGCAACGGAGGTTCTTTTCCAGTCCTATGCCTCGACTACCACGATGGATCGCATGACCTGATTGGCTTGCATATCACATTACGTCAGAGGACATGTTCACAAGATAGGACATAAGTACAACGGTACACAGGCTAGCTGGAAGCTGGAAGACTCAAAAACTCGCTCGGACCACGTGACCCGAAACGCACCGCGCGCAATGAGGCCTAGGGACTAGGAGCATTACGTAAACGTGGTCTAAGCTTCCGTGTGGCACGAAATTTTTGCGGGTTCTAATTTTTGCGATTTTTGCGGTTTTTCCAGCGATCTGCAAAAATAAGTTCCCGCAAATGAAAAGTACCGCAAACATTTTTCCCGCAAAAATATACTCCAGAGTAAATATTCTCTAACTTAAATTCGCTACACAAAAATACAGTACTAAGAAATCGTGTCTTTTCAATCAAAACCTGTCTCTTTCATTCAGAAACAAAGAAATACTGGTTTATGGCTTGAAAATATGTATTGCTATTGGACGTACTCAATAAAAACGAAAATATCATCAACGCTGGGTACTGGGTACTTTCTAAAAATAACAAAAATTAATTCCCAGCAAGAAAAACCAAATTGGTAAACTGTGTTCGGGACATGGACGCATGGATGCTTTCCAACAAGCTGAAATTTTAATAAAGACAAGTCCCAAGTTCTCGTAATATCCTCTTCTTATCGACCTCGGCCACCACTATCTTCTGTTGATATATGTAATGAGACCTTATCCTCTTCCCCCAGTGCACGCAATATTGGAGTTATCTTTGATCAGTCCCTTTGTATGGTACCTCATGTCAATGAGGTCTGTCAATCGTCCTTTTTCCATCTTCGTAACATTGGTTTCATACGCAAATATCTTACTTATGATGCTGCAAAGATCATTAATCATGCTTTCGTAGTTTCTAAACTTGATTATTGTAATTCTTTACTGTACGGTCTACCAATTCCTATCTTATTCGGAAGCTTCAACATGTTCAAAATTCTGCCGCTTGCCTTGTCAACCAGTGTCCAAGATTTGAAATATTACTCCAGTCCTGAGGGATCTTCACTGGCTCCCTGTCTCCTTTCGTATTGAATGTAAAATTATGTTAATTACTTACAAAGTACTACATGATCGAGCTACAATTTATATACAGGAACTCCTTCAATTGTATACATCCAGCCGCAATCTTAGATCCTCTAAGAGAAATTTATTAGTTAAACCCTATTTTAATCTCAATTCGTATGGTAAACTGCTGTGAACTCTGTTGCTGCTCCGGAACTTTGGAATAACTTACCTGAGGATATTAAATCTGCAAACTCAATTGATGATTTTAAACGCAAACTTAAAACATTTCTTTTTATGCGAGCTTATGAATCGCGATGTTTTTATTTGTTATCTGATTTTTATCCATTGTGTACATTTATCTATTTTGTAGTTAGCGTCTAGTTTTAATGTCAATTTCTTGTGATTATTTTTACTTTTTACTTCTATCTAATTTTTTGTAAACAGCGCCTTTGAATCTTGTAGAAAAGGCACTATATAAATGGATTATTATTATTATTATTATTATTATTAAACTAATCTGTCCCAATCTCAAAAATCAGTTCCCGCAAAACACAAAAAATCGCCAATCCGCAAAAATAAACTCCTGCAAAAATTTCGTGCCACACGGTAGTCTGCTACACAGCCGTTTTTAGTGTCGTCACGCAACTCTCCTCGCCAGAGGTATATTAAAGATGTTAGCCGCCTTCCCGTGACAGGTGCTGTAGGAGGTCTAAAGACTGAGGAAATGATGGGAGGTCTACAATATGGCTTATTTCTAAGGCCATGACTTTTCGCTTGTAATTAAGCGAGCAAGTCCAGGTCCGAGGCGAAACTTACCAGTTGGAAGATTGGGTACGAGAAGAATTTTGGTGTATCGTACACAACATAATCAGCGATTGCCGCATGGTGCACTTGGTGCAACTCTTCTTTTGCCGGTTGTTCTGGATCTAGTTTTATAGGTTACCAAAAAGCCATTTTCATTATGTTTCGTTTACCTGGTGCTGGTGCATCGCCCGACAAAGCTGCTATAGAGGAAGAGAAAAGGAGAAATAGGAAGAATGTTTGGTTTACAATGAAGGCTTTCGTGGCCTATGTGGCTCTACTTAGATTAGGTAAGCTTAAGGAAAGCTCTGAGGAAAGCTTTAGCATTTTGAAGAACGAAAACGTTAAGATGAAAGAACCTAGTCCAGATGCTCTACCACTGAACAGTGGGCTTGTGGGAGCTGAGACCATTTAACTGTAGCTTAGTGGTAGACCATCTGAACTAGTAACCAGAAGGTCATTGGTTTGACTACTATTGGAAATATTCAGATTTTTTTTTCTGAGACAGGGCTCGAAATAATTCCCGAAGAGTCTCCAGACACGATGACTGGCCAAATTCATTTTAGCTTGGTCACGCACCGTTTCTGGCCACTCAAATTTGTTTGAAACAAAACTGGCGTTATATGTTTCCAAAAAAGTCATTGCTTAGAGCTTATCGCAATATCCAAAACACTCATTGTCAACAATAAAAATTAATTACAGCAGAGAAATGAAAATAAGCTTATGTGTGTTCATAGGTGACTGTCTGTAAGACTAACGCGTAACACATTAAAATAATATCATTATCAAACACATTTAAAAATTTGTCTGGCGCCTCCAGTTATGATGATTTCTGGTGCATGAACCCCGATGTCTGTTTCAATGCGCTAATTGTAATCAATGGTTCTAGTTGCATTTCCCCAGAATTTCAGATCAAAGTTCTGCAATATACAGCGACTTGTTACATACTGATAACAACTGAAACAACTTAACAGCATGGAAATTTATTTCATTTTCAATACAATCGAATGTGACGGGTCAACATGACTGGCAAGATGAAAGGTTGACCGGTCAACTCTCCAATCAGTCCGGACATTGTCCATTGACTGGCAATTATTTTGAGTCCTGCAAGCCACTTGTGTCACTGACTGAAGAAAAAAAGGGAATTACCGAAACAAAGCGAAAAGAGTTTTCAGCAAAAGTTGATCATTCTATTCTCAAAGAACATTTTCGAGTTTTTTTGCAATTACTTAAATTGCATTTACCACTGCAATGATCATATGCATTATTTGAAATTATTTGTTAAGCTGGAAGAAAATTGATTCTTGGTTTTCACGTGACGTCACCAAAATTCAAACTAAGAAACTTCCTATTTTCATGAGTTATTACTGCACCCAAACACCTTTATTTATACAAATTTTCAGTTCAAAAGAGTCCTTTGTTTTGCAATAGAGGACACTTGAATTTCCAGGCTTTTGTTTGACTCTGCATTTAGCTTGTGGCTGGGAAAGCTCTTATGTAGGTTAAAAATGTTACCAATTTTTCGAAATTGTGGTATCAAAACAGAATAGATATTATACTTTAATGGTTACGAGTTCCTCAAGAGACGAATTCACGCATTTGTAGGAAACTCAAATTTGAGATGTTGCTGTTGGTTTCCAGTGGCCATATTTGTGCCCCTCAAAGGGACACCAACATGGTGTCTCCATAGAAACGTTTATAAATTTGGGTAAAATGTTTTTTCCGCATATCTCGCATATGAAATGTCGCACAGACCTGACTCTTGGCAAGCCGTTTTGTATGTTCATTTTCTTTCAAAAAACAGAAAATTTACAGAGTCTATTTAAATTAATTACTACAACTCAGTTTTTCAATCTTTACTTTTGCAGCTCCTTATGTTTACAAAGCTCTCAATGGATAATCCCCCTTTGGTACGACAAGAGCACAGATGTTGAATATGTGTTTATCTTTGCTTGCTCATCACTCTTTGTATTGGACTGTGCGGCTCCACTCACTGAATGTTAGTCTATGGAACTGACCATTAAAATTAACAGGTGCAGGTTCGACGAAAACTTTCACTTTTAATGGCTGGTGAAATTTCTGGATATTTTTATATACTGTAACAAAGAACTGCTGGAAAAAAGATTACTGACCACGCAGAGGTTGCTGGATTTCTTCCTTTTAATTTGGGCAGGAATGTTGCTTTAAACGTCGAAAAAGTAGTTCATCTACTTGTATGTTTGAATTCACATGCATCAGGACCTCTTTCGCCAAGATGCTGCTCTTATAAAGTAGGCTATGAAATAAAATTTATCACCTAAAACATGCAAAATTTAAGTTCACTTTCCTGATAAATCTGAATATTATTATCAAACAGTAACTTCATCTTTTTTAATGTTAAGCCTGTTCACAAGTTTAGCGAAATAATTGCTGTATTTCACAGTCAACATAAGTTGTGACCATGTGTTCATTTTTTCCAAGCCATAGAGTAAGAGGGGTTGATTTTATTAAATTAGTAAAAGAAGAGAACTCTAGTTTGTAAGGTCTGTTTGAAATTTTAATGTAAAGAAACAACATTCTGTCTACTTTTTTGATATATAAAATGTGTAATTAATGTAGTTTATTAATTATTATTTTATATCTTTACCAGAAAGGTAGACTATTGATACTACTTCAATTTATTATTAGGAAACAATTCTCACAAGCTTTGAAACAAAGCTAAGAACTTATGGCACACAAACAGAGTATTCTGGAAAGTTGACCTTTAAGCAAACAAAATCTCTAAACACAAAGGCATAATGGGACCGGAGAGCCACTCAGCCATGTTACCAAAAGAAATGGCAGGTTCTGGGGCAAGAATGACACAAAAGTGGCAAAGAAATATGGGGGGGGGGAAGGGTTGGGCCTGGCAGGTTGGCAGGAAAGCTGTTTCTCTGTATGGCAAGTGAAAACAATATATTTTTTCTTCCCATGAGATATGAAATAGTACAAAAGACTGCAGTGTTGACCAAGTGTGAAATCTCCTGGCATCCTCGTTCAAATCCAACCCACATTCATTCAGTGTGTGAGAATTTCCTTTCTTACCTCTTTTACAAGCTCAACAAATGAGAAAACCATGGCCCAAGGGTTGAAAAAGTGAATAGTGAGACCCAGTGAGAAAATCATTAACCTCTGAATGACACAAGACATTAAATATGATTTTTCTTTGGATAGTGATTTGTCTGCAATTGAGTGCTATCCACTTTTAAACAACCGCGGCTATGAAAAATATTTACACATGCATGTTCTATACTATTATAGAATACTTTTAAAACATTTGGAAGGGCTGTCTAAAACTTGGCGCCAACAATTTGACATCAGGGCAAAGTTGTTGGGAGACTGATTAGTGCTTTCCCAGGGTTAAATCTGAATCTGGGTTGACTTTTCTTTTTTTACAAAAGCATTTACTTGGATAACTTTCTATATTCTCTTTAGAGCATCCAATCATCAAAATGTTGACAAAAAAATTACACTAAATTTGCATTTTGAGCTTTCATATCTGAATTCAAATTTTGCACTAACCCTAGTATATCTTAGCTGGCTTTAGATCAACCTGGCCTAGATGATTATCACAGCTAGAGGCATATCCAGCTACTGGTATATACATTGGCTTATCACCAGTTAGTTAAAAGGTATTTCTGATGTTGTGCTTTATTATGGCAGCTTTGTCGCATGGTCTTCGTTGGACCAAGGGTTTTAGCGGTCTCCTACACAGCCACAATATAATAGGGAGAAGCACTCTAGACAATATACCAGTAAAGAACAGATGTATAGGACAATATATTATTAGAAATTAATATTTTACCAAATGACAAAAAAACAAGACTGTTCACATTGAAAAGGGACTGACCAAACTGGCACTTAATAATTGAAGGAGTTCATGGAATATTGCACTAATAAAATGGCTCTTGATGTAATATCAAAATCTCTTTTTGTTAAACATAGGGGGAGGGGGGGGGGGGATATCTATTAGTTTATCAGAAGTAGCTTGGGGCATTTTTTCCATAAATCTCACCCCTTTAGTCAAGGAAGGATAATAATAATACTAAAAGTGGACACCTTTTTTTTACAAAAAGTGGTATACAAAGGGGATAAGGGTTTGGATCTCAGAGTGAAGCATCTGCCATGCACATCTTTGTTGAGTACCCTCCTACTTAGGAAAATGAAGAGTACAGCGTGTTGCCTGGAACATAGCTCTGGAGAAAAAACTACTGGTGTTCACTGTTCATTTTACAATGCTTGAAAGCCAAGCATGCTGGTATTAAAACCATGGGTTGTGTCTCAAGTCTTGCAGGAACCAGAGATGTGATCATGCCTGCAATCAAGTTCTTGAATGAAGAAATGCCACTTTTGCTTCGTCATCCTCATCACTGTAGAAAGATATGTTACAAAAGACAGACAGTTAAACTTTGTGTTCAGATGAAAGCATTTATATGTAAACACTCCAGTTAACACTTTAAACCTGAAGATCAAAATTTGAACTCTCATTTGTTGCCCCTATTCATTTCCTACAGAAGCAGTGGTGAGAAAGTTGATAAAACATCAAGCAAATTCATCAAGTGATCATGTCTGTAATTCTCATGACCACTCTAGTTTACAAAGAAATAATATTACAAGGAGAAGTTTGATGCTGATCACTTTTAGGGCTTAAAGGGTTAACTCTCTCTAAGACGGACACCTTTGGGACCGGCATGCACCAAGTGTCCGTCTAAGAGTGATAGTCCATCTTATAGAGAGTCAAATAGAGGGAGTAATTAAAGAAAGGCAGGGACCAACTCTAGGTGTCTGTTTTACAGAGGTGTCCATCTTATAGAGAGTCAAATAATGGGAGCAAAGAAAGGCAGGGACCAACTCTAGGTGTCTGTTTTACAGAGGTGTCCATCTTATAGAAAGTCAAATAAAGGGAGCAAAGAAAGGCATGGACCAACTCTAGGTGTCTGTTTTACAGAGGTGTCCATCTTATAGAAAGTCAAATAATGGGAGTAAAGAAAGGCAGGGACCAACTCTAGGTGTCTGTTTTACAGAGGTGTCCATCTTATGGAGAGTCAAATAAAGGGAGTAAAGAAAGGCAGGGACCAACTCTAGGTGTCTGTTTTACAGAAGTGTCCATCTTATAGAGAGTCAAATAAAGGGAGTAAGGAAAGGTATGGACCAACTCTAGGTGTCTGTTTTACAGAGGTGTCCGTCTTATAGAGAGTCAAATAAAGGGAGTAAAGAAAGGCAGGGACCAACTCTAGGTGTCCATTTTACTAAGGTATCTGTCTTATACAGGTGTCTGTTAAAAGAGAGTTAACTATAGCTGAGAAGACTCAACCTGAACTTCCTAGGTCAAAAACATAGAAAATGAAGGGACTTACTCCTTGTAAAATGTCATTTTGACTTTCTTTACTTTTTCTTTGCCTCTCTTGGAGCTGAGATAAATTGCAGCAACAATTACAACAGTCAACAATCCTGCCACACCAATCACAACACCGATCCAATGCTTCCTCACTTGTTCTGTAAAATGAAAAGGAGCAAGTAAAGATATGGGGTGAAGGCAGAGGGGATTAAAAATATTTATTATTTAAACTTTTTGTTTGTATTTCATGTAACTTGTGTTTGGTTTGTCTTAATGGTATATAAAAATTTGGCTCAAAATTCAGCTTGTGCCCAACCAAATTTTATTGTAACTTGCTAGCTTAATTTCTTGCTTAGTATTCAACTTTTCCTTGAGGGGAGGTGAATAATGGTGAATATAATCACTAGATTGAAAGCGCCAAGGAATCTATATGATGCTTTGTGCAGACCCTGATGGCAATAGTCGTTTTAGTACAGTGATTTTGTTACCAATGAGCCAATGAGGAAAAATAATTCATGGCATGCATCCCGTAGGACCCAAAGAACGATTGATCGATTTGAAGATTTTTTGGCAGAATATCTGGTTCGTGTGATTTCTGTGGCTGTTATTTAAGGATGTATATTTATTTTAGTCTTTTTGTGCTTTAAGTTTATAGAAGGACTATATTTTAATTTCAGTAAACTGTAATAAAGAGTTCTGGCATCTAGTTTTCTCCAGATTAACTGTCTGGTTACATAAAGGCTAAAGCATTTTCAATCTTGTTTTTTTTAACTTGTGGACAAGGACTCTTTATTTTTCACAAGATGAGTCCCAGGACTCACCATAACTATTTGTAACAAAATCACTGTTAGTATTTACCAAATCACTTGGATAAAAATAAACAAGTAACCTCTGTAAATGGAATTGATGAATATGTCACTTAGTAGATCTTTGTTTGTGTTTCAGTTGACAGTGTTTTGGGTATTTGATTGCCAAAAAAAGCATCTTAAAAAACTGTTGTGAAATGGCATGGTAGGCTATATTGAATCACATCCCAGAACAGTGGATAGCCAAGGTTATTCTTTCTGTGTACCATGAACCACTCAAAATGTGTAAAAATTGCTATCTTCTGATTTGGTAAATACTAAAAACATATGTTTGTGGTTAATATCCCGTTCTGCATAATATTTTTGGTTTTGTGACAAATTATGAACAGGGCATATATATATATAGATAGATATTTAATTATATGTACCTTGTATCACTTTATGCCATGGTTTTTTGCTGTTATTTTTTGTTGTTTCCCTTAGAATAATGACTTTCTTGAATGTCAAAGTGTCTAGGCCGCCAGCTGTAATGTTTGACAAGTCTGTTAAATAGACGTCAGAATTACCATAAGCACCAGCAATCCACATTGGTTGATCCTTTAAGAAGAAAATAGATAAACAATTATTATTAGGGATCTATGACTCACTCAGGGGCAAATATACTGTACTAAATGCACTTAGTTGGTGATTGATAGTTGCTAAATGATTCTGTGGTGACAAACGACAAAGATCAGTTGAAACTGAGACAGCGACAAGGGTAATCTCAAATACAATAGTTAAATTCTGACAGTGACATGGCCTCCTCCACTGGTTTTGAAATTCAGACCAGGAACTTACGTCCCCCTCCCCAGAGAGGACCTCAGTAAAGGTAAATCCATCCTGTTGTGATTGTAGTGCAGACAAGTAGCTTACCGTGATGGGCACATCCAGTGGGTCTTCTGTGTCAAGTTTTCTGGTAATGCGTAAAACCTTAATATCACTTGAGTTTTCTGCAAAATGCTCTACAGTCACATGGTAGTCTAGCTCCGTGGAATTACCATCTGGCTGTAACTTTCCAGTGTCAATTGTATTCAAGTCCTGTGAAGATGATTGGAAATGTTTGTAGAATACTTTTTTATACATTATTTAGTGTCTAAACATGGTTTCAGCCACTTGGCAAATATTATACAAAGAAATAGCATTAGCTTCTACAGATCTGTGAGGTGTTAGAAATGATCAATTGACAGAAATGCTTTGCAACTGATCTTTAAACAAATTCTCTTGCCTAATTCTTTTCAGAACTGTTTGGAGAATTTGTATGTTGACAGTGGAGCTTAAAGGGTACATCGCAAGTCATGAGAGAGGGCACAGTTCAAATATTTTGGGCAAACAGCCAGATACGGTTTTTTGGACACCAGCACTTTGATGGAAATATATAAAAAAAAGGAACAACCGTCTTACTGATGAATAAATAAAATCAATATCCGGGTTACAGTTACAAAAAATTGTTGATGTTACATTCTCTTGAAGTCTTGAAAACAAGAGACTCATTCAACAACATTTTTATAGGAATTATGACAACAAGTAAAAATGGAATATTTGTAGGGGTTATATTTCATACCTTAGTTTACAGGTTGTTTCCATACTCGTGTATTTTTTTTTTTTTAAGGAGGATCGAGAGATAATTACCATAAATATATTAGTGCAATAGACAAACAGACATGATCGATATGCCACACTACTAGGAAGATATAAATACTTAAAAGAAGTTGTTATTGTATTATCTATCATCGCAATCACCACAATTTTTATGATAAGGGATAAGTTTCTTACCAAAGTTTTTGTCCGTCCTGGAGATGAAAACCACGTTACCACAAAATCCCCGTTTGTTCCCTGAAGTCCGTCTTCCTGAGCTGTTTTATAGGAGTCGTTCGATGCGGGCAAAAACCCTAATAATACCCATCCTTTGTCATCAATAGCAACGTTCAATATAAATTCAACGCTTTGCGAATCATGATCGACCTTCCATTCCACAATGAAGTTTTTGCTGAAGTTGACGTTGCTCGCGAACTGTTGTATGGGAGCATGTCCTTCGCTTGCATGTGTTGCGTCAGCATAAAAAGGGTACGAAGTCATAAACACGATAAAACAAGACAAAATTGCGACCACTTTCTGTGTTAATTTGAACGCATTGGCTGTATTCATTGTGAATTTTCGCCTTCCTTTTCCAAAGTACTGAAGTCTTTGTGTGGTCTCCCAAAGAGAGAAAGAGCTTCACGAAACACAAATGATCTTGAGTCAGATGCAAAACAAGTTCGCTCTTCGCAGGAAGGAGGTTGACGGCAGCCGCGTCTTTCTTGTAGCTTTTACCGATATTTTGTAAAATAGTTGGAACTCCAAGACTGACCACGGTTTACCTGTAGCAAGCGTTTCCGAGGACAACTGGTTTCAAGAAAATCTTTCCAGTTTCCAAGCACCCACTTCTGCAGACAGACACGCAGCACTGTCCTTTCAACAAGTGCGTTCGACTTCCACTCATTTCTTTCAAATGCAAATGAGAGAAGCTCAATTTGAATACCCGGAGGTAAAAAAAGTCAACACTGTTGAATAAACGCTGTAGTTGATTGTGCTTTATATGAAAAGGATTCTGAAACTAAAAACGCTTTTTTTCCAACTTTTAGAGATATCGCATATCGAGAGATACGAGACACGCGACTGGAAATGTGATAACAAAAGTTATACCACGTGTTGCTCGCATCTCCGCCCCGTTTTAAAATATTTTTTAAAAAATATTTTACCCGCGCTCTTTGTCCTTTTTGTTCAGAGTTGAAGTATTATTAGTCCTGACATATGCTAACTAAGCAAAATTCCTCGTTTCCTAGCTAGAGCCTGAGTAGACGAGATCATAATTAGAAAACCTCATAGCCTGGGAACAGGGGCCCGTTTCTTAAAAGACCCGGAAACTTTTCGGACCCGAGAGGAAATTTTGAAATTAAAACCTGTTTCATAGTAGCACAGTTCTTCGCCCACAAACAAGTCAATTTTGCTTCGTTCACTAAGAGTTGCATTGTCTTATTTTCAAAATTACCGTAAATCCTCTATTAAGCCCCCCCTCTCAAATAAGCCCCCTCCCCCTAATAAGCCCCCCCTTTTCAGGGGAAGAAAGTTAATAAGCCCCCCCAACTCCTATTAAGCACCCCTCCCCTCCCCTATTTATTCTTCACTAATAAATGATACTGTATCAATCAACCACGGCTGTAAAACTTTGTGTGGACTGATCCAGGATGCTTTATTTACCCACTGAAAGATCGGATTTGATTCTGATCCTCAGCTGCATGACCTAAAACTTCTTGTACTTGAGCTTTCCCACGTTGCAATCTAGTTCTTTATGAAGAACTGATACCATTGTCGTTTTTAAATTAAATAAGCCCCCCCCTCTCAAATAAGCTCCCCGTCTCTATTAAGCCCCCCGCCCACCTCAAATGAGCTTGAAATAAGTAAGCCCCCCGGGGGGCTTAATAGAGGATTTACGGTATTGAAAGTTTGATCTTGAATGCAAACCCAACCGAACACAAAACAACTTTCTAGGCCCGAAAAGTTAGCGGGACTTTCGAGTCGAATACCCCCAGACTCCTCTCGGCTCGCTTCGCTCGCCAATTTTTCTCTCCCTTTTCCCCCAATGCGGAGCCTACGGAAGCCGAGAAGGGACAATCCAAAAATATTTTGCAAATCCAAAAAAATATTTTAAATCGCAATATTTTTCTCAAATGGCTGTCGAAAAGTTTGACAAATCTAAAAAACTATTGCAAATCCTAAGAAAATTTGTGGATCCGCAAATAACTTTCTCAATAATCCGAAAATATTTTGCAAATCCATAAAATTATTTCAAATCGCGATTTTTGTACAAATCATTCTTGAAGAGTCTGGTAAATCTAAAAAAGTATCGCAAATCCAAAGAAACTTATTGGATCCGCAAATAACTTTTTAGAAAACTCTAACATAGTTTAAAGTCCAAGAATCGTCTTCAAATCCAAAAAAATATTTTGGAAATCGTAAAAAAAGTTTTGTCACATGCTTCTAAAATTTAAACTACAAAACTATCGATCCTACCGAGATTTTACTTTCACGATGTATTAGAGCAGCTGAAAACTAATTTTCATACAAATTTTCGCTTCAAAAGGGTTCTTGGTTTTGTGATAGAGTATGCTTGAATTTCTAAGGTTTTGCGTGACGCGGCATTTACATGACGGCCAAGAGAGTTGACATCTAGAATAAAAAAAAAACGTTATTTCAAGGAATTTTGCTATCCAAACAGTTCATGCATTATAAAAAGTATTCCTTTAATGTTTATGAGTTCCTCGAAGAAGAAATTCACGCTTTGTAGCAAAACTCAGTAACAGATGTTTCTGTTGGTTTCCGTCCGCAATGTTGGAGCCCATCCAGGTGGGCACCAGCATGGCGTCTCCATACAAATCTCTATAAATTTGGGTAAAACATTTCTTCGGATATCTCGTATACGAAATATTCCTCTGACCTGAATCTTGGCGAGGGTCTTTGCATATTTACCTCCTTTCATTTCCCAGATTCTGGACTTTATCTATTGAGGGGTTTTGCTTTTTATTTTGATCTATTTTGAATGGCGTGACCCTGAAAACCAGCAATACTGGCTGTTTCCCGCCATTTCCCCCATACAAAATGGCGAAGGAAGGAGGTTAGAATATCGAGAACGATGTTCTGTCATAAATGTGGGAGAGAATTTGGGAACAATGAAATATTCTGCCCTTGGTGTGAAACACTAAAAAGACGTAAACAGGAAAGTGTGTTGTCCAGCTCGGGAGACGAGATTTGCTATAGAACATTACTTTAAAGGAGGATTTTGTTATGAGACCATTGTTCACTTTCTGGCAGAATACCATGGGATTTCAATGAACGTGAGGACTTTGAAGAGAAGGCTACGTCATTATGGGTTACGAAGAAGTAACCACCTTAATTCCGAACACACGATTTCCAAAATATTTTTTTAGATTTGAATTGATTCTTGGACTGTAAACTATTTTAGAGTTTTCTAAAAAGTTATTTGCGGATCCAATAAGTTTCTTTGGATTTGCAATGTGTTTTTAGATTTACCAGACTCTTCAATAATGATTTGTACAAAAATTGCGATTTGAAATAATTTTATGGATTTGCAAAATATTTTCGGATTATTGAGAAAGTTATTTGCGGATCCACAAATTTTCTTAGGATTTGCAATAGTTTTTTAGATTTGTCAAACTTTTCGACAGTGATTTGAGAAAAACATTGCGATTTAAAATATTTTTTTGGATTTGCAAAATATTTTTGGATTGTCCCTCCTCGGCTTCCGTAGGAGCCTGGTCCGAGGCTACTGTCACTATCACTCATCAATATCAGAGTCAGTTTGGATATCATGGTGGGGAACCTGGGCGTAATTGGACCTCATGAACAAAAATCGTAATTCATTGTAATTCAGAATTTATCCAAGCCTTTATCAGACTGGACTTCGATTATTTCAGCTGCTTCAAAGATTTCCCAAAGGACCAAAAGGACCGAAGATTATGGCTCAGAATTCCCGATCTCAGTAAGAGAGGGACCTCTAGAAATAACCGGAGAGAAAAATGAAATTTTCGTTGCAGGAATTCTGTAAAAGCCTACTTGTCTGCTGGACTTTTTTTCTTTTTTTTTTTCTGGGGCACAAGCTTGCACGAAATTTTTCCTCATGCAGTTGTTTTCTTTTTTTAACCATCCAAGATTTAGAATTATTATCATGTTGTCTCATTCTCGGAGATATCTTTTCAGGATTGTCGGAGCGAGACGTATACCCTGTTTTAAATTAGGACAGACTCGCACGAAATCAGTGAGGCTTTCGAAATTACGAGGACTCCAGTGTTATTTTCCAGAAAATTTTAGATGCAACTGAACGTTTTACGAAAGTGAGAATTTTTCTTATTTCTCTCTCCATTACATTTTTGAATAAGGGGAATCCGCGAAAATTTTAGGTTTCCTTTTCCTTCGATAATTAGGCTAACAAAAAGAGTAAAATATGAAAAATAAAACTCCAGAAAATCGTAGGGAATTTGTAACTGAATGGAACGCTCAGTTTTTACCGCCCCGCCAACTTGTCACGTGCCTTTTACTTTCGAGTCTTCCCCACTATCTGAGAGTCTGGGCTAACACTGAGCAAGATGCGATGCGCAAACTCTTATTACATAAACAAGCGAGAAAAAAATAACTTTATTGAATGATCTTGCTCTGTTGTCCCTACTTTCTTAGCATTTTGGAGCAATTGTCGTGGGGTGTCTATTAGACAGGTGGGCATTTATTAGAGAGGGGTTTCTAATACAAACTTATAAGTGTTGAGGGGGCGTTTATTAGACAAAAGGCGTTTGTTTGACAGAGGGCGTAGAGTCTGTTACATTATTTACGGTAGTTGACTATGCAAATACTGCAACACTCTCAGAGTGTAAAAGAAACTTCGAGCGGTGACAAAGTGACATGCAATAAGTTCTGTTAAGTTTTGAATTATTACATTTAAAGAAATGGAGGGTCGCTTGCCGGAGGAATGGATGGATAGAGTTATTTTGCTTTAAAATGCACAAAACAAAAGTGGATGCAAATAAGCCGGAAATATGTTTTAGAGCTTTTAGCTGGAACGAATGCGCTACCCAGGCGCTGGGGCTGCCAGACAATAAAATCACATAGTTACTAACAATAAAATTATTCACACTATTCTTTCAAGTGAATTTTATGTTTGATTTGATTGGTTAATTTTGCAGACCGGCAAAACTCCTCCCCAGATTTCTCTCTGTTAATGGAAATGACTGGGGAAGGTGAGCGTTGAATTTGGAGGCGAAGAAATCATGGCAAAATGTATCTGTTTTCTTCAAGTCCTTGTCACCAATTGTCAATACAATGAACGTTAGGCAATTGTCTTCCTTCTGAGGAGAAATAGGTAAAAAATGGAAGGAGAAGATGACAAAAACGACGTGGTTTATTCGAGTGGAGATGAAGGTGGTGCGAGTGTCATGTCGGAAAGAGTGTCCAATCTTGCTAACAGTATTTACAGCGAGTTTGAGCGAATGATACAAAAGTACGATCAAGACGTTGTTTCAGGACTTATGCCGCTCATGGTATCAGTCTTAGAACAGCTTGATAGCGCTTATGGAGACAATAACGAACAACTTGTGGAACTGGAAATTCTGAGTGATGATAACGAGCAACTTATAACGCAATATGAAAGGGAAAAGCAGCTACGAAAGCTGGCTGAAAACGTAAGTGAAATAATCCGTACTTTTGTGAATATTCAGCTATGATTATCGAAATTGAAGTCTTTTGTATTTAATGACGAATTTAGTCATTGTCTGAGTTGATAATTTCTAACTTTCAGTGTGATCTACCTGTTCGATGCATTTGAGCAATTTTGCATTAGTACGTGGAATACTATTGGAATTAATACTATGTTCCACTGCGATTTTTTTTATTGTTGTTGACTGAAAAGTTTCGTGAATTTTAAGCCATGTTTTTGTGGTCAATAATTCATCATTAGTTATTTTTTGCCTTTATTTCGAAAGATCTACGTAAGGCGTTGTCTTTTCGGCAATTTTGTAGCTTCGATTCTAAACTTTAATTTTGAAGGTTGTTACTCTTTTTAACCTACAAAAGTAGAAATTGAGTATTCTGATTTAATCGTATTATGATATATTTCTTCATCACCTTGCAGTAAGCTTACTTACATAATAATTTGCTTGTGGGGTAACGATTTTAAGCGTAGTGCTCTTAGTTTTAGCCCGTGACTCTCAAAGGATATATTTTTGGAGCCAAATGTAAATTTTAAAGCTTTACATCAACGGAAATATTCTAAGAACAATTGAAAGAAGTGATTTATTCGCAGCAGCTGAGAATATTTTCAATGCGTTTTCATTGAGCGGAATACACGTGGGTACAGTTGTGTCTGAGATCAACAATTTTTAAATTACAGCAAAGGTAAACATTGTTCAGTACGATTTGTGTACTTCTTCACTACTTCGGCGACGCAATTTTAAACTTCAAAATAAAAATAGTTTTAGTATTTACATCAGACCAGGATTTATCATTCAAAACACTGTAAATCCTGATTGTGATCTTTGGGGTTTTCAAACCTCCACAAGGGGTAAACTATTTACCTGCAAAGGTTACAGGAAAATTGATTATTGGAGGCACTTAGCTCTATAACTTTATATTTTACATGCATATGAGGAGTCACATCTTTTTCAGCTTTGAAATTCATACAGATATATATTTTCTATAACATTTTCCTTGATGTGAATGAAGGATTAAATATAGGTTGCTGTGAATTCTGCTTAATCTTTGGTTTGAACTTTTGAGTTTTTCTTTAACACAAGGTCGATGGGTCAGGTTACGGGTCATTAGAGCTTGTTGTTTTAGAAAATAGTGTCATTAATTTCCCTTTGTAACAGTTGATGATACCTTAATATCCACTTTATAAACCTCTCACAACATGTGCAAGTCTGAATATTAATTTAACTATGAATTAAATCAATTAAATTTTCTTAAGATTTTTTGGAATTTTTAATGCCAATGAGCTTTTGTTTTATGGTGGGGTCGGGGGAGAGGGTTAAACCTTTAAGCCCTAAGAATGGTCAGCATGAAATTTGTCCTCATAGTATCAATGCTTTATAAAACAGAGTCATCAGGAGAATTGAGGACCTGATCAGGAAAGATGAATCTAATTGATACTTTAACAAATTCTCCCCACTACTTCTATTGAAAACACAGAGGGACAACAAATGAGAATAACAATTTTGATATTAGGGTTGAAAGGGTTAAGGGGCAGGGAAGGGTAGTGGTAAGATGGATTAGCCAAACTCTTCAATCATTATATACTAGGGTGCAAAGAAAGTCAGTTTTACAGCTTGCCATTTGGGCAGGCTGTAGCTACAGTCTCAGACAAAAATAGTTGGGACACTTTAACCAAACGCTGTTTTTTCCCTTCTCGTGCTCCCCTCGTCCCTCTCAAAGTTGTTTATCGCGGTTTGGTCACCAAATCTTGTACACCAACATTGAGGGGACAAGGAGACCCCAAAGTGTCCCAACCATTTTGACTGAGACTGTAGCATGTACTAGCCCAAAAGTCATTTCATCTAGCCCGAAAAAAAAATTATGATGAGCATTGGTTACAGTTCTTCTGTAATTTGAATTCCCCCGAAAAATTTCATTTTCCCATCGGGCAAGTTAAGAACAGAAATCACTAGCCCGATAGCAAAATCCACTAGCCCTGAGCTATTGGACACCACTTTCTTTGCACACTGTATATGTTGTGGTTCAGTTTTATCCTTAGTTTAATTTTTATTTTCCTTTGTTTTTGGGCATGTTTATATATGATAATGAGTTTGAAACAAAGGAAAATAAAATTCAAACCAAGGATAAAATTGAACCACAACATATACACTATGAATTTTTTTCACATTCTTCTTTCTTCGCACTATGAGCCTTTGTAAATACACTTCGCTGCAAAAGAAGGCTCTAAGGAATATATAAGGGCAACAGAATTTAAAGGGCTCGAATTTAATGGTAACCTGTTAACCAATGGTTAGTAGTTTTCAACATTTGTTGGCAATAATGTGTCCAAGTGACCAACATGGCTCAAAGCAAAATTTCGTTTTTGAACACTGGCATGGAGGACTCAAGAAAGCAGTGAGAGGAAAAATGTAAATAAGGGCCAATAATCTGCATGAATGGAAAAAGACATGTTTCTGGTTACAGTCCAATGAGGTTAAAAATGGGGAGGGTAGCGCATAAAATTTGTGTCAAATAACCCAGAGGGTGAGTTATCCAAATGCTTGAATTCGAGTCCTGATTTGCTATTGTTTCGCTATTGAGCATCATAATTTTGTATTTATTATGCACTCAGAAATACCTTGAGATTGAAGATCAGATAGAAGTTGAAAAGAGAGATACCCAGAAACAAATTGATTCGCTGGAACATGACAATAAGAGTTTGGAGGCTCGTATCAAGAGCTATCAGGATCATGGTGAGTTTTAAGTCACATTTAGTGAATAGTTAAATCAGTATGAAATTAAACAATAATTAAATCAAGGGAAAAGGTGGAGGGGGAGGGGCTAACAGCTCTATTTTGGAGAGAAGAAATTGACAGTAAAAGACAAGCCTAATTTTCAAGAAAATGGCTCTCTTTCAGGGTGTTCATTAGGCATTGGAGATTGGAGAATTCTCCGTTTACTAGGCAGAATTCTCCAGCAAACATTTGGTAGCCTATGACTATATTTTTTTTGGACGTGGAGCCTCTTTCAAAATATTATCCTGTAACGTTACCCCTTTCTCCTGCTACTAGAATTCTTAAAGAAAACCCCGGCTTTCTCAAATGAATCCCTGGAACGTGTTCATGGCGGCCACTCTCCTCATTTAGCATTTGGATCATTCTTTTACCCCCATCTCCTCCCCCTTTATTCTTCCAATGATAAATCAGTGCGACAGGTGCCTGGTTCCATTGACTAAGGGACTTATGGCTGGAGGGCGCGGGTTTGCCAGCCGTGGGGGCATAACTCAGTCTAGGGGCTGGCTGTGTCAAAGGTGGAAGGCCCTGGAAATCCCGGGCACCCACCTCCACTAAGCGACGATATTGTTAACTAAGATGAGCAAGAAGGCGCCCCCAGCAAGCAAAATGTGAGAAATGCTTGCCAAAAGAAAAAGCTGGATTTCACGTTTTTTAAGCCCAGGTGCTTATACTAGGGAATCTGTCATAACTATAGTCAGATGAAAAAACAAACTGACTTCATTGTCATACATCATTATCTTGATACATACTTTTAGGTTTCTTACAATAGTGACAAATCTCTCTCTTTACAGTTGAACGTCAGGATGAGAGAATCTCTGAGATGAAGCGTGAATACCACACACTTCATGAAAGACACTCTGAGGTGCAATTATATACACAATAGTAGGCCATAAATAAATATTTTTTCCAGGAGTCACTTGGCTCTTAAATATTTCAAAACAAAACAGGAAATGGTTTTACTCTGTGTTTGTTTTAGGTGTATGTTGTAGTTAATTTTTTATTTCAGTTAATGTAAGGTAATGTATGCTAATGAATTAAAAACAAAGGAAAAACAAAAATTAAGTGAAATGAAAAATTAACTGCAACATACATCCCCTCCAGAATTACCAGGTTTCATCATATTCTGGTAATATGCATGGTAGATGTCCAGTCTGTCTTAAAGTAAACTCAGGAGGCATTACAAGAGACTATACAACAAATATTCTAGTTTTTTATGACATCAAGCAACAGCCTTTTTGTTGACTTAAGTGGCGATCAGTTCCTCAGATTAATTTTTACACATTTTCAAGGATTCATAAGGTCTTCTATTCAAGGTGTGATAGAGGATTCTAGTCACCAAAATGGCAATATATTTTCAGCTTTTGTGCCAGTGTGGAAAATTAAGGTTTATTGGTGTCCATGTTAGGCAAAATTTGATTCCATGTGATGTTTGAATGCTAGTTTTAATGAAATAAATGATTGCCTAAGAAAGAGTGATTCAAATTACTTTTAAGAAAGTACTTTCTTAATTGAACCGTCCTAATACAATAATAATTATTGTATTTTGGTCTCCAACTGTTACCCATTGCCATTGTCAGGAGGAAATATTTCATGTAAGTGCCAGAAACCAAAGCAAGTTTCACCTGATTTTATTCACAAGCTAAGTTACAGTTGCTTCTACTGATTGTAGCTCCTTCATCAGCACATGGAAAGGCTACAAAGAGATGACAGAAAAGGTCCAGGAACACCTTCAGATGGCACACCAAGGACACCCTTTAGGTATCCCACAAGTACAAATAAATGTTATGATAAGTGATCATCAGAGAAGTTTCTGTAGGGATAAAAATTTATTTAAAGAGTATGGTTGGGGTGAAAATTTCCAAGTTGATCACTAAATGCCATTTGCCGAATTATGAAGACAATCACATTACTCCATCCACCCATTTTAAATTTTATCTCCTCCACTTCCAACAGCACAGTGTAATTATGTAAGTGTGTGAAAGTTTATATCTTAAATTTTTGTATTTTGCTCTGCTTGTTTTTGGCATTTGCACAAAGCACTCCTATAACAAAGTAGAGCAACAGGTTAGAGGTATACTATTTCCTTGGTTATCTTGCTAATGAGGAACTTTGTAGTCAGCTTTGGTCCTTTTTACCGCAACGTACTTCTGTCAATTAATATTGTCCATTATGCTAAAGTTTCAATATTTTTGTTTTCTGTAGCAGGCCAAGAGCCACTTCTAATACTGATTCCCCACAATCCCCATCATTGGGTACTCCAGTAAATTCTCTAGGGGAATTGATTCCCCCTGAGAACTCCCCAAGACCCAAGACTCCTGACACAGAAATGCCACTGTTTCCAATCAAGGTGAATGCAAATGAGCTGTCTCTCGAGGAAGAACAGCTTGCTAATGAAAGAAAAGGTAGGTGTCTTGTCATGCTGATCTAGTTTCAGGGCAATGCAAATTGTAGCCTGTGCCACAGATGGATCTAAACTTCTGGTTCAGTCTTTTTGTGCACCAGGCCCAAAATCCTTTTCCTGGGTCCCCACCTGTGTAACAGGATTTGGGTCTGGGCCAGGGCTGTCAATAAGGGCTGGTAGCCGGCCAAAACCGCCAGCTAGTTAGCCATCCTTAGCCAGCTACTTTTATCTCCTTCTACCAGAACTGCTAACAAAAAATAAACACCATCAAATAAAATTGTAAAGCATCTGTTTCCCAGTTTTGAATGACACTGACCTCATATTTAAACAGGTTTAGATATGTGGAACGTTTGAACCGTGCGATGTTGTGGATTGCGTGGGACATTTCAACGGCATTGTTCCCAGTGTTGCATGTATTTTGACGAAAAAACATGGCATCTGCAGTGGAAAATACCTCTTGAAAACCCCTGAAAATGCCATTTTCGAGATTCTAAATTTCAAAATGTTCCTAGATCCCTGGTCCCTCAAGAACTTGTGCCTTTGGTGTGAGTTCGAAAGCTGACTACCAGCCATTACAAGCCCGCTACTTAAAAACTTTTTGACAACTCTGGTGTGGGCCCTGATTGGCCTGTTAAAAAGCCATTGCTAAAACACCTTTCTAGTAATTTGTTGAGCCTGTTTCGGGCCCAGAACAGGGCTATTGGCACTGCTTATAGGCAATTTAAAAAGCTGATAAAAAAAAGTGTGGTGGAATCTTGATTATTTGTTCTCAGAGGAACTGGGGTAAAAAGCTTGGGAAATGAAAAAGACCAGGTAATTGAAAAGATAAACATTTGTCTTGTAGTGACCGTGTCCTCATCATTTCTGCCATCATTTGTCCTGCAGCATTGGCTAGAATTTAATAATATGATCTAAAATAATTAAAGGTTAGGGAATTGCATGCAAGATATATTTGAATTGCTCCAATACTGTGCTTTGCGTAAGGTCAAAATGTGCATGATCAGTTTACAAGTGACAGAAGGTCCAAACAAGTCTAAATGAATGCTGGTTACATTCAAGCTGCAGTGTTCTCCTTATAGGGAGGTAACTGGTAAAATTTACCTCTTGAAGCAACACTTCTTACAGTCTGCAACCCGCTTGAAGGTTTACTAAAATTAAATAAACTGTTTTAAAAAATGAACAAGTTGTGATCCGATCTGATTCTCACAAGGAAATGAATGAATATATCATTATGGAAAACTACTTAAGTATACACAGCTTTTCTTTTTATGGGCCATGTAATTTGAAAAGAGAACATTGAAGATAGCGTAAAATTATTGGAATCAAACATTTTAAATAATGTTGTCTAAAGATAACAACAGCCAATTTGCGTAAAATAGGAGGGAATGACATTTCAGAGAACTTACCCCCTAAATTTCCAAGCGAGGGTGGGCTGTGTCGCTCACTACAGTCTTGACAATTTGAATGGAATTATCCAATTTCTGAGCTGAATTATAAACATCTGAACAATATAAGGTATTTTCTGTATACAATGATAATATTTTCCCATTTTTTCTTGAATTTAATGTGTTTTCCATAGAGAACTTCACTGGACGTTACAAACAATGTCGTGCATGACCAACCACGACAGTAAAGCTGGTAAAGTGACCCGAGTGGTGGGGTAACCCTACCTGAGAAATTTTCATGTAAACCAGAGTTAACTTTAAAAACCACTTGCTAGGGTAACCCTAACGCAAGGGTTACCCTCTCTCCTTGTAAACAGGCCCTAAGAAAATAAATAAATAAAAAGATTCAGATGACACATTTCTTATACCTACTGCTCACAGTATTTACAGGGCTAATTTGACGGATAGTTTTTTTCTTGGTTTACTTTGTGTAGCTAAAGGGAGTGACAATACATCTCGAGATGCATCTCCTGCTACTCAGAATGGTCAAATAGCTGATGGTGAAGTTTGTATTTCCCCAAGTGCCACTGCTGGTAAAGTGGATTTGAACAGTAGCGATGTTGTGACCAAAGGTTCGCGTTCAAGCACAACAAGTTCACTACAAAGTTTAGATACCAATACCTGTAATGTTTCAGACGTGGACAACATGCCAATCATGACTGTGACAGATGTTGAAAGGGCAATGTCTGGAGAGGCCCATTCCCCACCTGATGGAGACTTTGTTCATCTGAGTAATGATGCAGTAGCCATCATGGCCTCGACACCTGAACTGAACCCTAATGTTTCATCCTCCCCTATTGACGTAGTTAGGAGAGCAGGGTCCAGGCAAGCTGAACGTCCAATTTCCTTGGACTTGGAGTCACTGCCAGAAGGAGTAAGTGCACACTCAATATTTGCAGAACTATCCAGTCAGGAACCTGACATTATTGGGCAGGTGGACACGGGTGCTGATATTACAGCCATGGTAGGAGAATTGGACACAGTTTTGAAAGAAAACAAAGAGTTACTACAAGTCAAGTAAGCCTGGCTTTTCAAGAATTCCAGTAAAATATTTTTTGCATAAAAATCTGTTAGACTGTAGTTAATCCTTCTATTTATGGTTTACCTTCTAGAACCAGGCTTGTTACCCAAAAGAATGACCTTCTTAAAAGGGTTGAAGAATTGTCAAAGTAAGTAAGCCTCATTAACTGTTAATGTGAGGATAAGAATTTAAAGCTACTTGATAATTTGTCGCAGCCACCACACCTGCTGGCAGAAGTATTTGAAACACCTGGTGAAAAGGCAAAAATGTTCCCCAAATGTCATCTATTTGTCACAAATTTGTTTTACTTTTTGCCTTGAGTTCTTTGCGTTCACATATTTGGATATAAAGAAGGCAGAATCATCCTTAAAGTAGCTTTAGAAGTAGTCATGAGCCAACTTTGTTTCAGTAAGAATATCACTTTTTTTTCTCTATAAATTGTAGGGAGTTTTTTTTCACATTTCCTCCCCACTGGCATCCTGTTAGAGCTTGGACTGACTTTAAGATACTGCTGCTTACATTTAAAGTAATTCATGGCCTTGCTCCTAAATATCTGAGTAATTTATCAAGCTTTAAGTAATCTTCATATAACCTTAGATTTTCAGGTAGTATTTTACTTTCTACACCGGATGTTTGAACTAAAACTTCATTAGGTGACAGAGCTCTGGAACATCTCTTCCCAAAGAGCTTCTTGCAATTACAAATGTCTGAAGAAGTATTTTTTGAGATCTGTGTATTGGTGATTGATTTTATTTTATTTACGTAATTTTTGTGCATATAAACTTTATATTTTTTATTATTATATAGAGACGAGTGTTTTACTGGAAAATATGCCACTCGTAATATTCATAAAAACTACATCCGGGACCCGAGTGGTTTATTTTCCATAATCTCACACGTGAGTTTATCAATGAAGTAATTTCGGTAATTTCCCTCCAAAATTTGTAGGCGTTTTGCGTCCTTTGAATTTTAATTACCCATTTTTCAAAATTTTGCTTATATTTTGTCATTGTAGAGCCCTGTTCAGCTCAGTGTTATTTCTCAAGATTATTGTAAACAATGTCATATATTGCTGTACTGTAAATTTGAGCTGTCACAATTACTTTTTGGCGAATAAAAATCTATTATTTTATCAATGTCTTTTTGTCTATATAATAAAAAGAACATTACACGACGGCTTGAAGATATGAACTTTATTTTCTCGTGGCAAAAACAATATTTTACGAACGAGCACAGCGAGTGAGTAAAATATTGATTTGCCACGAGAAAATAAAATTTATATCTTCATGCCAACGTGTAATATCCTCTATTTATCTTTTTTCTGTCCCTCGTAATGCATTGTGGGTGTAATGCACAACTGATCATTCTCATGTTAAGTTGCACACATTAAGTTCGTACATTATTATTATTATTATTATTATTATTGTTATTATTATTATTATTGTTATTATTATCATCATTATTATTATTATACAAGCATTCTATTTTTTGCTCATAAAGATGTCCGCTTCTTAACATGTCACAGTTAAATTGAAATGCTAATCTGCAACTGGGCAGAATTTTGCTTTATGTGTGGCCATTTTTTTACATAATTATTCTAGTGATAAGGAGCTGGCTAGAGATGAAGTTGAAGCCCTTCAGGATACCAAGAACAGGCTGACAACTCACATCTCAGAGCTTGAACAACAACTCAAGAGGTAGCTTTGAACTATTAGTTTCTTGTGATAAAAGATAATTAAAAATGTTTTAAATCCAATGTAACGTGCATGTTTCTTAATTCAATATAACTTGACAGTTCAGTTCAGAATTATAATAAGTGAATAAATAGCTTTACTAGGGCTGGTATTGAGTTTGTATCAAATTTTAGGGATTAAAATTGGGATTTGTTATTTATTTTTATAAATAAAAAGCAAGTGAAAGTGATGAGATGAAGGAAAAATTTTTATCTCCTGATGATGTCATTGTGTAGTTTCACATATTATAATATATGAAGCAACATTTTGCAAATAATTGCAAATACGGTGAAAACCCACAAGAACCTTGTTTTTATGAAACTGTTACGCTGAAAACGTGACCCCCTCTATACCTTAACCGTTTAAGCAAAAATTTGAAATATATTCTGAGCTTTTAAATGTATTTTAAAAAAATGTGACTGTAAACTTGCGCAAATAAGACACCTCAACATTCAGGATGTTCTTAGATGTAGATGCCCTATCACTCCAATTGACATGTAAACGCAAATGTGAAAAAAATTTTTTATTTCTTATGTGAACACTTAATATGTGGCTGAAGACCACTAAATTCTATTAGCTACAATGCAATTTAATTTTTCTTCAGAAAAATAGAACCTATTTAAAAATCTAAATGGTATGTATGGTTACAGGCGCAAAATTCAGTTTACATTTTTCTCTCCTTAGGGTTAAAATGGATGCCGAAAAAACAACTGTTGCATTAAAAGAGGTAAATATACTGCCTTCAGTATTGGAACTAACACTGGTGCCAAATATACAATTCTGTTCTATGCAGAGAAATGTTTCTGCAACATGTATTTTTGAAATTAATGTAGAGTCAACTGATCAATTGTTTGGAGATATAGCTTGTGGATTCTATTTATTGTTTCGAAGCATTTGGAACATTTCTGGTAAATATTTAGACCATTTGAGAGTGTTGTTTTCTAGGCTAGTGTGTCAGCAGCTCATCGAAAGAGGTTCACACGAGTAGAAATGGCCAGAGTGCTAATGGAGAGGAATCAGTACAAGGAAAGACTGATGGAACTTCAAGAAGCTGTGAGATGGACAGAAATGATCAGGTACCTATTCAATAAAACAGTAGTTGAACTTCTTCATGTACTGCTGATGTTTTGTTGAACTCCGACTAAACTTATATAATACCATAACTGGAAAACTGGGAAAACAAAATGTTAGGTAATCATGGCTTTTTATTACTACCAGTAGTTTTACAAAGCTGTATTCTGTCAGTGTACAAACAGTTAGAATTTTGTATACATTTGACATTTCAAAAGTATAATTCAGGGTGGTTGTAGCTCAATTCCTTTGAAATATGAATCAGAGACCAGGTCGTAACCTTAATTCCATTTTCATCTTTAACATACCTGTTTCTCAGTACTCCTGAAGTAATAATCTTTTAATTTTGTAGGGCATCAAAGGAGAGAAACCTTGAATTGCAACAGAAGAAGAAATCATCCATTTGGAAATTGTAAGTTGCATGGTTCTTGTGAAGTAAACAAGGAGTAATGTCAAAAAGGTTACACTAAGTCGCAGGCAACTTTTGCAGCTCTTATAAAAATCTTGAAGGGGGATTTTATTCTTCCTAGGTTCAAAGCGACATTTGAACTTACTGGATGCTTCCTGCATAAGCCCAACTTTATCTCAAAAATTGACATGTTATGTCGGCTTTGCAGAACATTTTCAAGAACATTTTGAAAAGGGTGAACGAAAGAGTTTGGAGGAGAGTGGTTTTAAGCTGATACTGCCAAAATAGATAGATTTAAAAATCTGCTGAACAGTTAAGGTTACCAGATATCTTCAGGGGTGTCTCGTTTGCAAGTGATAAAGCATGTTCCAAGTGAAACTGCTTATTATAGCTTATTGAACTGGGTATCATTAATAAACAAATAATTTAAAAAAACCCTGAAGTGTTGATTGTTTTGTGATTACAATATTATTCACCCACACTTAGTGGAGCTAATTGAGGAACAGGGGAAGAAGTCCTGCAATCATTTTTGTACTTAGTAAAACTGGAATCACCTGCTTTGGAATGACATAGAACAAACTAACCACAAAATAATTTTGCTATTAGTTTCAGCAACCTATTTGGTCCATCTCCTAAGAAACCTGCTCCTCCCATGGTCAGTATCAGATACAACTCTCCTCAGTTGGAGGGAGAGAAGCCTCCTGCCTCTCGACGTAGTAATTCTTTGGATTCAGGATCTGCACCTGGTGCTGCCGCTGCAACTTCTGGTGGTGGAGGATTTGGCAGCGAAAAGTAAGACAAAAATAATCGTTGTAAAAAGCTTTCTTTACATTTGTATTAGTGGCTCTATTAGCAGCATAGCAGAGCACCAAGCACACTCTGCCATCGAGTTTGTCATTGACACTTCTGTAACAGTTGTTTTTTCAGTGTAGAGGAATTGTTCCAATCCCAACTCTTTAGCCTTAAGGAGGGGTGGTCCATTGTTTTACTGTAAATCCTTGGTGGAAAGTGCTTGTTATAAATTAAGAAATTTAATAAAGCCAAGTGTTCAGCACTATTTGTAAGCATCATTTGAAATAGGGAAATTTTCTATTTGACAACATTGAAGGTCATTGGCTTTTTAAAATGACTGACATTGCATATAAAAACAACGTTTAAGCTTCCCTTTAATTTAGAAAGCTGTTTGAACGTTTCAGTACCAGCAGAACACTTTTCCTGGTATCAATAGATTAGTGTTTTCTTTTTCCATATTTCCATCAGTGTTCAATTTGCAACTATCTCCTCAAGTTACACACTCCCACGAGAGACCTCTGAATCAGTGAGTCTCAGGCTCAGTAGCCTGTGCCAGGCTCTGAGATATTATAGTGGGACGCGTGCTACTTGGGAAAGGGGGCAGTGGTGGCAGCCCCCGCTCGTTTTTTGCATTTCTTTTTGCTGAACAACTTTTCACCACTATCTCAGAGCCTAGAATGGGCTACAGACTCAGGGGTGAGTGATCTATGATGGAGACAGATGAATTTCATTCTAGGGGGTACTTATTTAAGATAATCAGACTCTGTCAAGGTTCTTGAAGCTTAGACTTCTTCTACTATCTGGGACCATGTTCATTTCATTAATTCATTCTATTTTCTTTCATCTGTAGCTTTGACAGGCAGAGGCTTGTTGACAGAAGAGAGCGCTACAGACAAGTTAGGGCATTTCTCAACTCAGGTAGGTCTGTGCTAAAACATTAAATTCAGGTTTTTGGATTTTTTGACTGTAAATCACCAGAAAAAAAGTCTTGTTTCTCTTAAGAATGACAAATGCAGTGAAACTTTCTCTGCTTTCTCTGTTTTACAAAACATAATGCCAATTTTATCGAAGATTCAACATTTTGTCCTACTACCGTCCAATTTTTTCTTAACAGACAACTTTATAAGATGAACACCTCTGTAAAACAGACACCTATTGTTGGTCCTTGCCTTTCTTTACTCCCGTTATTCTGCTCCCTATAGGACGGACATCACTCTTAAATTACAGTGTCCGTCTTAGAGCGAGCTGGAGAGAAAACAGTTAGAAAAGCTCTCAGCAGCATCCACCATGTGAATGAAGGATTGCATTCAAAAGTTGGTTTACAATATTGACATGAGCCATTTCTGCCTTCAGGCTTATGAAGACCAGATGTAAGAACTTAAACATTGGGATTCTGAGAGAAATATGCTGACTCAATTTTTTATTGCCTTGAAAGTCAAACTTGGTATTAATATCTCCTTCCAGATGTTCCTGAAGGTCGAATGCAAGCTTATGGATGGAGTCTTCCTGCCAAATATTCAACCGAAGTTGCTGAAGGTGGAAAGAGTCTTGTGTCTGTTCCTGTACCAGTCTACTGTCGTCCTCTTAATCTTAATGATCCCGGGATGAAGGTAAATATTGCATCCTTAAATTTCTTACAAAAGTAGCCCAAAGGCATTTTACTCTAGTACATCCTTGTCACTTGTGTTAAAAGGAATTAAGGACCTTTTGGTTTGTCATCATTGTACATTGTCTTTTTTGTAAGTATTAACACAGTGGGGCAGCACCAGCTCTTAACAAAACTCTTAACAAAACCCCCTCCCCCAGTTCAGTTGTTGCTAGTTCTCTGCCCTTCTCCAAGAAATTTTTTCCAGGGAACCCTGGTTTCCCCTCTCCTCAGAAACCACCACTTCTAAATTCCAATTCAATCAGGAATGCATGTACATGTTGAAAACAATCTCTTAAGAACTCCTAAGTGCTTTGTGGGTTAACAAAGTACAATTTATATAAATTGTTTGTCATTGTACAGATCTGGTGTGCTGCTGGAGTGGACCTGTCTGGTGGTAGAACAAAAGATGGTGGCTCAGCTATTGGTGCAAGCAGTGTATTCTACACAGAAAGTGCTCGTGACCAGGAAGAAGGAGAAAAGGACCTGCAACATGATCCTAAGGTGTCCATGGTTTGGATTGGAAGTAGTACACACTCTTGTAGCAAAGTCACAGTGGTGGATGCGAACTACCCTCAGAATATTTTAGATTGTTTTATAGTGTGCACGTCGCATCTCTTGTGTATCACACCAGTCCCTGGTGCTTCAGAAGGGGATTATCAAAGCTCAGAGTGGACTGTTGAAGGTATATATTGACCATGTCTTTATCTACCAGTAACCCCTTTCATTCGTACACCCCACTACAATAATTATGAGGGACTAATTTCTCCTCATTGATCCCTGATCCAGGGTTCTCATTAAGTTTTGAAGTTGATAGCTAGGATGATAAAGCAGGCAGCTTGGTAGTCAGTTGCTGAAGGCAATCTCAAGCTCTCGCTCTCTGACCTTACCCTTTTCCCCCAGAGAGTAGGTAGCATAAGATATGAAGTAGGCGGTTTTTTAGCTGGTTGTGGTGCACTTAATGAGAACCCAGATAATCAAAGTCAAATAAGCAAATATACCATCTATATGTCAAAATGTTGTTTCAAGCGTTCTTTTTTCAAGTGGATTTTATACTTAGATGTTCAGCTGACTTTTTCTGTTAGATCCACTTCAGACAAATGGAGACAAGGCGGATTCAACAGCAAGTTCAAGCAAGACAGGATTTTCTGACCCACTAGGTATGATGGTATTTACATGGTTTCTAGAAGGAGAGATCAGTGTAACATGCTTGGATTAAAATGGCCACCTACCCCTCCCCTAAACCAGTATTAAAACTAACTTAGGGCAAACTGTTGGTTTAAGGGAGGTGTGGGGAAGGGTAGGTTGGGAATTTCCTAGAATGTAGCATTTTTAAGCATTTTATGATGCACTTATAAGTTCCTTTTTTAAATATCTTTCCAGTAGTAGTTTTGATTTTTAATACAGGACTGAGTTGTTCAAAGCTGGGTTAAGATAACCCAGGGTTAGTGCGAGATTTGCATTCAGATTTGAAAGCTTAAAAAGCATTTCAGTTTTAATTCTTTTTGTCTACAAGTTGAGATTGGAAGCTCTAAAAATAACAGGGAAAATTATCCGAGAAAATGCGTTTGAACATAAGAAAAAGGAAACTGGGGTTGAGCGCTAATCGACCTTGAACAACTGGGCCTAGTTTGTAAAGATTTTAAAATATATCGTAACTCTTGAATTAGTTCTTTCTGTATCAATGTATTTGATAAAATTATTTCAGGTGTCCAGGGACAGGGATCAGATGGTCCAACAGTGACAGATATAACAGCTGGAGAGAGTATGTCGCCACTGGCTGGACACATGGACGGAATAGAGAAAATGAGTAGTGTACTGCCCACAATGTGGCTTGGAGCACAATCAGGCTGGTAAGAGCAACAGCATCCATCTCTGCATTACATTTAACACTTTTTCTAATTTTGAGAAAATAGTTTTTTTTATAAAGCCAATTCTCAAAAAAAAGAAATAGTAAAGCATTTAGAAGCCAACATGATTCTATAAAATCAATTTAAGTGTCTTCCATTGACTTGTGGTAGTTCCCTTTGTCACTGGCCATCTCTGAGAAAAGGGCTGCAAAATTAATAATGTTTTTTTCCTTAAGGGACATATGTCCAGCTAAGACACCTGAACTCAGTTTGGGAGGCATCATGCATCTTTAATGAAAATTGTGCATAGTAGTTTCAGGATTCCCTGGTTGACCGGTTATTGCCACATATTCACTGCAACATTGTTATTTCATTGGTACAACCATTCACGTGCACTGAAGGTTGATTATGTTGATTATGTTGAAATTTAATGCAGTTAACAACAAGAAGAACCACCTCTTGTCAGTCATCGGTCAATGTGGTGGTGTAAGCATGGTCAGCCTTGCTTGCATCAGCTCCATGTGCTTAGTACAATGCTTTCATGGAGACCACTTGCTTTGTTTAACCTTTGGATTGTGCTTTTCCCCACCCCTTCCCCCTTTATTTTTCCACTAATAAATCAGTGTGACAGGTGCCTGGTTCCATTGGTATGGGAGCTCGTGGCTGGAAGGTTCAGGTCTACCAGCCATGGTAGCGTAACTCCCTCTAGGGACTGGCTTTGCCAAAAATGGAAGTCTCTGGAAACATTGTACGATGAGGGAGTGTTAATGTTAGCTCTGGGGCTGGTTAACAGCTTTCAGCCAGTCAGCCAGTCAGCCAGTCAATGAGATGTTAGTTGCCTTAGAGGGTATCAAAGTACAAAGTATATTCATTTTTTAATTGCTTAAATTAATATCCTGTTGCTTGTTTTTTTTTCTTGCAGTGTGTATGTTCATTCTGCCATATCTGACTGGAAGAAATGTATACACTCCATCAGATTAAAAGACTCTGTGCTTAGTATTGTGTAAGTGTATAATGTTTTTATTTAAAGAGAGGTGTAATCTTGGCAGAACCTCCTACCCCCCCTTTGTAAAAACAATGGGTATGCTTCTGTAGGCTTTATGGGAGGTTCATACATGACAAGTGTCCTGCATACTGCTCGTATAGAGCGGTTTTCATTTGAGTATCGTAAAACCAAAACCAAAGTAATTACTCTAGCCAATCACAAAGGACACAGACAATACAGTGAACCAATTAAAACTCGAAGTAATTACATGTAGCTGACGCAAAGCGCGGGAAAATGCATGCGAGCGTGACACAATTGGTTTTGGTTTTCCTTCTGATTGGATAAAAAAGTGACGCGAATCTTTTAAGCCAATCACGTAGCGTAGTAAACGCAAAACCAATTACCTTTCGACACTCAAATGAAAACCGCTCTAATCTAGCGAGTTAATAGATGAAGAAAGGTGGTATCGTTAAGCTTGATTAAAAGATGTCACCAGTATACCATCCATTTTTCTGGTTTCTGGACTTTGGAAATATTCCTTTATAGGTGGTATGATTTTCCTGCAACAGAAAGTCTCTTCTATTTTCAAGTCCCTTATAATATTTCAAAAAAAATTCAGTAGCCTTTTTCAGGAATTTCATTGAGGTTGTGCGGACAATGCAAAAAAAAAGTGAGCAGGAAAAAAACAGCAAGTGGGTAGGGGGGGGGGGGGCAGTAAGAAGATATTGATCAGGACTTTGTTGAATTATAGCGGAGAGACATTGAGTCCTGTCAATGTCTTTTTTTTATTTTTTAATTCAATGCTTTGTTTTTTTCCAGTTATGTTAATTCTCGTGTATTAGTTGCCTTGGCGGACGGTACAGTTGCTATCTTTCACAGAGCTTCTGGTAAGTTAATATTAGGGCCATTTATACGAGGAAAAATAAGACGCGTCTTACATAAGACGCGAACTTTCCGTATAAACGGCACATTTCGTCTAAAATAAGACGCGGCTTAGCTAAGACGCGTCTTATTAGATAAGACATGCTCGTATAAACGGTACAATTCGCGTCTTATTTTTGCTCGTATAAATGGCCCTATTGTAGTGAGCTTTAATAAACTTGAATAAAACAAATTGATCTGTCCACGAACAAATAATACAGTAAAAATTAAACCTTGGACTGTGGAGATTATACCAGCCTGCGGACACGGACGTATTTCCATTCGTCGCTTTTCTCCACCCAACCGGTCAACATGACTGGCGAGTGGAGCTTTTGGCCGTCAAGACGCCATTCTGGCCAGAAATGGTCTGCTGACCGGTCGTTATTTTGAACCCTGTGTCATTACTGGGGTAACTGTAGCGTAAAGGGTATGAACAGATCAGTCTTGTCGTGCAAGTTGCACAAAGTATCATCAAGACAAAACCACAAGTGAACATGTTTGTTATTTATTTCAGATGGCCAGTGGAACTTTAACAACTATCATTTGCTGGATTTGGGCCGGCCGCACCACTCTATACGCTGTATGTCTGTAGTGCATGATAAAGTATGGTGTGGATACCGCAACAAAATCCAAGTGATACACCCACGCAGCATGAAAGTTGAGGTACAACAGTATAGTTTAATGGCCTTTTTTCGATGGCTGACAGCAGCTTCATTTATTAGCACTTCTTCGTTGATTGTTCAATACTGCTACTCATTTTTCACAAACTTGGGGAATGGGTTCAGTGCCACCTTAAAGGAGCTGTGTCACGAAATTCAGTCAAATTAGGAAGTCACAAAATGCCCGTTAAATTAAGAGAAACATAAAAATAACCGCTTAAAACTTTAAAGGAAGGTTAAAATAACATAACAGAAACAACAGATGCCACCGATGGGCAAAACTGAAGAAGACTGAAACGGATTGAAATTAGGGTTTTTGAAAACTGTTCAGCCTAACAGTTTTTCAAAGTTGATCCCTGCTGCTTGCAACTTCAAAAATAATGCTCAGGAGATATATTTGTTTGTCTAGGATCTCTGATTTTGTCATTTACATGTAATTTCTTTGCTTACTTTAAGTTCCATGGCGATTGAGGGCGAGTAGTTGGCAAAATTAAACAAAATGAACTGGACTGCCGTGACACAGCCCCTTTAAGTTTTCAAAAAATAAGGTGGCTCTTTACCTTAACCCGAAGGAGAATGCATAACTTATTTTGTAGTTCAAAAGGTCAAGGAGAGCACTGTTCTACTATATTTTTCAGAAAACTTTCGATGCTCACCCGAGGCGTGAGAGTCAAGTCCGTCAGCTTGCATGGATAGGAGATGGTGTGTGGGTGTCTATTCGTCTGGACAGTACACTGAGACTGTACAATGCTCACACGTACCATCATTTACAGGACATTGATATTGAACCGTACGTCAGCAAGATGCTCGGTAAGCGCTTCTTTTCTTTCCACTTAACCCTTCTCAACCTGCGAATACACTGAATTCAACACGGCCGTCTCTCCTTTTGTCGACGCTTCTTAAATCTCATATGGCGACATTGAGTTTTGGCCGTTGAAGTAAAAACTCTGTAGAGTGCACTTTCATTCGGTTACATTTTCTTTTTAGCATTTTAGACACATGGTAGCCTTGCCACCAACTAAATCGCCAACAAGAATAGAACTTAGCATAGTATTGTTTTGAACCTTAATGTACGGAAATTTCTTAACCGTTACTTTATTTTCATATTTCAAAGAAATGACTAGTGGTTGTAAAACGTTTCTGCCAGTTTATAAATCTATGAAATGTCAAAGTTTACATTCACTGTACCTATGCATGTATTGTTAGTATTCGCAATATCAAGAGCATAAGACGTTCGACACAAGAATCGTCGATTAGGATCGACAGATTTGTATTTTGGTCGACTTCAGATTCGAATAAGCTTGACGAAAAAGTAAAAATCTTAGGTAAGTAATCCTAGGCATTAAAATGTGTCAATTTTTGCAGAATTATTCGTGGCGATTCGTTTGTGGGGCGAGATGACCGTAAACCATTTTGTTTCACCTCTGTGTCCTCACTTCCCGACCCAGTGGTCCAAAGATTCGTTAGAACTGAAACTGTCTTCGTTATTCTTATTTTGCGTCTGTTAATTTTATTTCAGGTACAGGAAAGTTAGGCTTCTCGTTCGTTCGTATCACGTCACTGATGCTAACCAACGATCGTCTCTGGGTAGGAACCGGAAATGGCGTCATTCTCTCCGTTCCTCTTGTTGCTGCTCGTCCCGCAAGGGATGACGGGGATGCAGCAACAAGTTCCCCAGGGACGGGAGGGACAGGAGGTCCTGGAGGAGCAGTTAGAGTATACAGTAATGAAGGCAAAGATGGCGAGGCACCCAGGGGATCAAGCTTTATGCCTTACTGTTCTATGGTGAGTTGATTGCAGCTTATCAAAAACTCCAAAATCTCCATTATACACTTACACATTGGGTGTTTTGTTACATTCCTAGACTTTCACTTCAACGGCGACAAAGAATAAAGAACGAATTAAGCAATGTCGACTCGGTACTTATAAGGACACATTTTATTTTCTCAATCGTTGAATGAATGATTTACATTTTACTTTCCCTGTGTTATTTGCCTCTTGTTCCTCCACTAGCCGCTGTTTCTCTTCTTGGATAACTTCGAAAATCATTGCACTTTCATTGCGACTCCATGTTTGTGTTGTTGTATTGATTCACGAAAGTGAAAGTTTGAAATGTTTTTTGCCGCCTTTCGTCACGCGTCTTTTCTTCATGCTCTGATCACGTGCTGTTACATTCTGAGTGTAAGTGGGGAACAATTGCTCAAATGAATCACTATCAGGAAACATTTGAATTTATTCAGGTCCACGTGACTAAGAATCAATCAATGACGGTCCCTGTTTAGTTGAGTGAAAGTCGAGGGATATAGCAATGAAGACTTACTTTTTACTGTCTAACACCTTGTGGCTAACTTTGTTTCAGGTGAACGCGCAGTTGTCATTTCACGGTCACCGTGACTCGGTCAAGTTCTTTGTAGCGGTACCGGGTGCCATGAAGAAAGTACCTCAACCCGCTACCTCGTCCTCAAGGTCAGCAAGTCCCAGTGGACTGTCGGCCAAGTCCAGCCCGGAGAGGGCTGTAACCGAGGCCATGCTATTGGTGTTGTCTGGTGGAGAGGGTTACGTAGACTTCCGGTTAGGAGACGGCGAGGAGACTGCCTTGGAGGAACAAGGAGGCGATTTGATATCTGTCACAACTCGAGGCCAATCAACCAATGAGAGGAGTCATATCATGGTTTGGCAGGTGTCAATCACATGATAGCTTTCTTGCTGAACAACACAGCGGTAGATAATAAATTCTTCATAATTATTTCTGGAAGCGCTTTTTATTTGTAGGTAGGCAAATTGATTCATTTCACGGCGTAAGTTTATTAATTTGCATTACACGTAGTCTGTTCAAAGCTTCCCTTTTGCACGATTATCGGGAACGAGCACCTACTTCTTGGCTTCAAATATACCGAGTCTCAACCTCGTCCCCTGAGTTTGCCTTGTCCCTAGGCTTCATTATTGTGCGCGGTTGATGTGTTTCGGGTCACGTGGACCGAGAAAGTTTTTGAGTCGGATACGTCACCGAAATGCATTGACCGAGAAGGTCGCTCGTAACGGTGAGCGCTCAATCTCGACGATCTTACGAAAAATTTATAGGGTACTGTGAACAGTCTACATTACCCGTGTATAAAATACACTCCCAAGTTTACAAAGCTTCATTTTAGCACCATAAAAGACGATTTATGTTAAATATTGAGTCATCATATTACATAAATTTGTAAATAATTTTCAAACTAATTTCTAAAGTTTCAGAAAGTATTTTTGGTGGTCCGTTAAATTAACTATTAACGCTATTTTGTCAGTTGTATTACCTACCGTCTGACTAGTCTAACTTATATAATACAAATCATTATATCATATACAATTATTATTATTGCGGGTTATGTCCAAGGTCATATTAGTCCTAGTGCGAATCAAAAAGTGGTTCATCAAAGTTATAAATGACACAAAAATGTAATGTTTATTCTCCAGGGAAAGTTGTACCTTCCGTAGTGAATTATACTGTATGGCTCAAAGAAAAATAGTTTGGTTTCTTCACCTTATAACAAAAAAATTTCGGAGGAACATCGAGTGTTCTGTACAATGTCTTGTGGAAAGTTCCAAGGGTTATTTACCTTGCAAGCAGAGGTTTCTTTCTGGAATGGCTTTAGCATTTACAAAGTCTTTCGCGTCGCTTGCTAGTCGCGTAGTTTTTTTTACCCGACGGACAAGCCACGCGAACGGCCTTAAAAATATCAAAAAACCACAGGAAGGAACCCCTTCTCGCAGGGTAAGGGTCATTCTGAGATGCGTACAAAAACTGATGGTTCCCTTTCCACCCCTTTCAAATGATACAAATACATCTTAAGCCTTTTCTCTCAAGTCCAAATTATGTATTAACTTTTGTAATTTTCAACCATTTGTAGTTTGAAAGTTGCGACCAATCCTTTTGGTTTTGATCTTGAAAAATATTGAGTAATATATGTTTTTAGACTTTAGTGAAATAGTTATTTTTTCGTATAATTTCAGAATCTCGATTTTTGTACACGGGTGAAAAGGCAAAGATGCTTGCAAGGAATTTGGTTGTAAGCATTTCCTCTTTCGTCTTTCATGGTCTTAGATCCTGAAATAGTTTTTTTCAATAACAAGTAATAAAAAGAGAAAAAAGGCAACCTAGACCTTACAAGATTTATTTATTGTCTATAGTTTTGCTCTTCACTTTATTATCTGGGGCTTAACAAATATATTAGAAGATTCATTCCAAACTCCTTTACTTTAAACATCGCTGTCAATATACTATAGTAGTAAATGAACAAATTCAGCAGGACAAAAGATCTGTCTGAGACGTAAACAATAAAACATGCATTATTAAACAGTAATATTTTATCTCTTTTTCCTTGTGCTATGGGTAACGTGTTTGCAAGTGCTCCCCTCTCAGGAAACTTAGGGAAAAGGTTTTTTTTTTCTGGGGCAAAGGAGCGTTGACCAAGAGGGGTAACCCTTGTAATTGGATCTATTACACAAGCTTATGAAACAGTCATAATGATCAGTTCATAAAAAATTGTCTAATAGAGTGGGACTTATTACCCGTTATATTTTTAGCGGCTTTTTCGTTTCCTTTTCTCTTGATCTCTCTTGCTGATGGGAGGCGGTAATCGTGTTGTGAAGTTTGCACAAGTTTTGCCCACAGTCAAGAGAGGCTTAATCATCTCTTGCCACCGTTTATCAACTCGTTAAGTTATTATTTTTTTTATTTTTAGAACAAAGCGGGACAAAGGACAAAGGGTTTTTCAAGATAGAAACGAGATAAAGACAAAAAATACCTCAGAGGTTTTAAGTCGTCATAATTTCGGGAAAGTAAAAAGACGAAAAGAGTGGATGAGAAAATTCTTATGTTCAGTCTTGTCGTCTTGGCAAGATGTGCTGGAAGGCAAATGCTTTTTTAAGAAACCGATACCTATTTTTTTTTCGAGCACCATGCTATAGTATTTTACTCGATATTTCCTTTTAAATATCTGCACGTCTAACAGTACCGGCAGAAAATACCATCACAGAAAATTCAGAAGATAGTGAGCGTGCTACGATTTTATATCAGTGAAAGAAAAAGCGATTTATATATTTTTAAGCTGATCGACATGTTCCTTAGAGCAAATTAGGGTCTATGTAAAGTACTAAATGAACAAAGTGAAAATGAAATCTTTTTAAAGAAATCGTTTTATATTATCAGTTAGCCGGAGCACTTGACATCTATAAGTCAATGAATCACTGTTTAAATAAAGTTCTTTGTTATAGCTTTGTTTTCTACCGATGGGGGATGACTTGGCCCATGTTTGGATACATGTGCGGGGCTTGCTCGGATGTTTTTAAAACCCCCATTCTGTGTAGGACAAAAGAGAAACTTTCTAAAACGGCAGAGAAGAAACCGACCTTAGTGCCTGAAAGCGACCTTTTTAAATTTAGGATACTGTTTAGCGCAAAATACACTAGCTCTTTTATTAGCAAAGTGTTGACTGATAACCTGCTCAACAGTGCTAAACAATTATGCCGATCTTGAGTGATTGAGTCGGCGTAAATACGTGAGTGAGCAACGAGGACCGTTAACGTTGCTGTTTATAACAAATTAAGACGAGAAACTCGTTTAATGGGACAAACGCACTTTAAACTATGAAGACAAGAACTATATCCAAAGGTTCGCTTGTGAGCAGTCGTTTTCGCGCCCGGTGTCATGTCGGATTTCGCGCTATGGAATTTTTCTGCGATTTTAATTTTGGTCCATCTGGTTATTACTTTGTTTGACAGTAAAAATTAAACCTTGCCTTATATCAGTAGTATAGAAATTGTCGGGCTTGTTTCCTGTCAACAATAGGAAACGTCAGTGCCAAGTGTTGTTCTCATTACATCCTTCCGTAATCGTGGAAGGTTGTTTTGTAACAAAGTACGAACTATGGTAGTGTTGATATCATGGAATCTTTCCAAGTTCTATTCCTGTACTAAATGATACGGCAGCTTAGCAGGATATAAAAGGCAGAATAAACATCAAAATTAGCGAATACGTAAATGATTGTTATCACGTACAAAGATTGTTTTGAGGCTAAAATTTCTCCGAAGTTTCTGGACCTTGTATGATCTTTCAGCCTGTTCGGGCCGGCACCGGTATAACTGGAAAGAAAACTATAATAAAACAAACGTTTTGGTCGTTCTGGAAAGGAAATCTTCAACTCGACTCATTACCTCAACTTTGACAGTTTTTATTATCCCTGATCGGAGGGTCGAGGCGGGAAGTGGGGAGGGGCAGGTTTTCCCTTCAAAGACATGTTCGGCTGGAGTATGCGTCCAACGGGCTATCTATCCGGGGGGGGGTACTCCCATATATTACCTATACGGGTATGTGCCGCCCAACGGGGTCGTGATTTTGAAGCTCCTGATTTAGAAAGGGGTATCCATTTTAGAGGCGTTTTCTAGAACGGGGTATAATATTTCGAACGCACGAAAGCTCCAGTTTTGTAAGCAGCCATTTGAACTTATTCAAGGACAGATTGCTTTTAAAAATACGGTTCAATGCGTTAACAAGCAAACTGTTGTACTCTTTGCAACTTAGAACGGAGTATAAAAAATTGGTCCATTTCTACAACGGGGTATCAGTTTTAGGGCGAATTCTAGAACGGGGTATCAATTTTAGGGGAATTTTTTTTAGAACGGGGTGCCAATTTGGAGTCCCGGGCGGCACATACCCACCCAAAAAATACCCAAGTGCCCCCCCCCCGGGCTATCTATATCTCGATTCAAGGCAATCGAGAATGGAACTTCGAAATATTGAACCGTAGGTACGACCTGTGCAGTGGAGAAACATTAATCATCTTATCAGAACGGACGGATCTAAAGATATGTTTGTTTCAGTCTATTGACCACTGTGACTAAAAATTGTCAGGAGCATTGCTAAAATGGGATATATTATCAACAGTTGTTTTAAGAGCTGTCATAACGTTAAGAGGATCCGATTGTCACTTCCTGACAAGCTGCCCACAAAACAGTTTGCTTTCCGCACTTTATCTTGGTTCCATGCCAAGGGGTCCTTTAAAGTTGAACTCCGTGCTCATGATCAGTTTAGTCGAGCCTCTTATTTCAAGAAGAACACTTAATCGTGAGCTTGTGAAAGGAGTTGATTTCACAATGAGCAAGCTTTTGTCCGTTTTAATTCTTCTGTGCTTTGGTAGGTTGCTTGTTTTCCTTTAAATAGCGAGGGTTGTAACCCTCAACTTAACTGTGCTTAAGAAGAATATGATTTTATAGTGTAGTCGAATATATTCAGTTTTTAATCCCTTGATTATTCAATTAATTTTAACACGTAGCTGTAACGTATAACAAATTGACTGAGGGAAAAAAGAATTTACAGCATTAAGCTGTTTTGTGGTTTAACCCAGCATAATTATCACTAAAGCAGTTCAAGTGAGGATGAGTATAGTCACCTTCAGACGACGAAGCGCCGGGATTTTGTTTGTTTAAAAATGACATTGACATTTTGCGTGGTGCGTTGCGCGCTTTTGTCTTCCAGTCCCGTCATTCCAAGCGGCCTCATCAAAGCTGACGTGCGTTCGTTCCCTGAAGTGCAACATTCAACGGTACCAAGGCTGTTACGCTGTAAAAGGAATGTGCCGTTGTGCGCAAGCGTGGTGCTGTAACAATCCATTCAATTACTCGTCACTGCAAAGCTGTCTGTCCGTCGCCGAAAATGCAGTTCATTTAGGTAAGAAATCATTAAGAAAAGATGATCAATGTGAACACTGTAGAGTGGTTTACGGTAGTTTCGCAGTTACTGTGGGGTCGATTGCTACACTGTGTGATTGGCTGAAAAATCTTGCGCCATCCAGCTCTTATTCACTCAAACCAATCAAGTCCTTTCGAGAGGTGATTGGATCACAAAATCATAGACTTGCGTTATGATTGGCTGATGCTAGTAGTCACACTGGCACTTGAGATAAAAGGGAATGATTTTTGCAATACAACCGCACCGTTCAGGCATCAACAATCCCCTTCATTTTTCCTCGCTCTTTAGACACTTTAATTTTCACTTTAATATGCGTTCTCAATAAAATGAATTAAAAGTAGGCTTGATCGTCCGGGTGAACGTAGTCCTGAACAGGACTGTTGTTGTCCGCCGTGATTGACGTTTCGACAACCTGTGCGGTAGTCATCTTCAGAGTCAAAGTGAGTTGTATCACGTCAGTTGAAGGTATTATACTCTGGTTATTGATCTGATTGGTCAATTACGTCGCGTTGTGATTATTATTCCTCGCGATGAAGAGGTTTGTCGCGCGTGGGTCAAAGCAGCCAGCAAACTCAGGTGGCCCATATTTTCTAGGTATATATCTTTTGGTGTCCGCAATGACATCATCAAGAGATAAACTGGGTCGGAATTGAAAGATACCTGAAGAAGTAAATGTTCATAGAGAACTTAGACAGAAACGCTGCATTTCAGTGAAATCCTTGGAATTCATTTCAGCTGGTATAAACTTAAGTATATATTCCTTGATCCCTTTCAGTGGACCCATGCGAGAAGGAACCTTGTAAGAACAATGGTTACTGTGTGCAGTTGAAAGGAGCCAAGGACGGTTACCGCTGTGAGTGCCATGGTACTGGGTACTATGGTCCTCGCTGTCATAAGAGTAAGTATTACTGAAGCTGCCGCCCGGTGGGGAGACTAACGTTAGTCGGGGTAGCCATCCACCTTAACATGCGTTGCTTATTCCAGGTATCACTCGCTAAGAAGTCTTAAAAACAGACAGAAGGACAATTAAATAGTAAATACAGCTGCTTTAAGCAAAATGTGGTGTTTTAATTAATGCTTTTGAACTCCAATGCTAAAGCTCCTGAGACAGCGATTGTTAAGGGTTGCACAATCATTTGAGCACGGTCAGTGGTGTTTTTACCTAGATGTGCGCTACCGTCTAGTAAATGCAATTAGCATCTGGAATGCTTACCACTCAGTTAAAAGCGGAAAGTAAATATAAGGTCATTTTGCAAATTCCAATCGAAAATTAAGGACTACGTTTCGAGGTACCGTAAATGATATAATAGGCGCCCTAACTCTAATAAACACCCCTTGTTTAATAAACGCCCCCTATACACGCAAGCTCTTTGGCAGTTGCTCCAAACACTAAGAAATAGTTGAATAGAAGAAAATCATTCAAGTTATTCAACGTTTAAAGTTATCCAAGTTAAGCCTCGTGACTCTGGGGACGAGAATGAGCTTATCGGCAATGGCACTGATTCAGCAGTCAGATGGTTAATCGCCTGCAATTATGCCATTAGGTAGGTAACTCAACCGCAACCCAGCGGTCCCAGAGAATGCCAAACGTGCAGCCGGTGGGTCCGAAGCGCTAGTGGGAAAAAATGCAAGTGATGAGGCAGTAAGATACTTAGCAATTGTTGGATGAGGCTACGAATGAACTGAACAATTATGCAGTTCGAGGAAAGTTTCATTCGCCAAGGCCGAAGGAGGCCGAGTAGGCCAGGAGAATAACACTCTACTAGCCTGTTCCACGCGTTCACATAACTGGAGCGCGGCGCGACGAGAGAGCAAGGAGAAAACAAATAAGGAGGGAGAGAGAGTTGTTTTTCTTGCTCACATCTTTTTGCGCCAGCCCATTATCTGAACGCCCGCAGCTGACTGTTTTCTTTTTTTTTTTTTTTTTTCAGAATGCCCTAAAGACGTGAGAAAGGCTATCCGCATGCTTTTAAAAAGCAAGGTCAAGTTTGCACACCAAAGAATTCGCCATTTGCGCCTTTGCAGGCTTTAAAACTTTCTTTAATCACAGGAACATTTATTAACGAGAAATCTGCAAGTTAAAAGCTTATAGATCGTTATCAGTCACGTGGTCAGCAGCTAGGCAAGTTTCTTTGAAAAAAAGAAAGTTTTTACATGAGAAAAAGGTAAACCCTCTCAGGATTTTTTCTGTACACCAACAAGGTCGCCGGTTTTTTGTTTTGTACACCAAGATCGCCCCGCTACTTCATTTGAAAACGGTCCTTTTTCCAAGGATGTTTGGTGACGGGAATTCTCCGACAGGAAATGAAAAACATTACACTTTAATAGTACATAGTTGACTGCCCAAACTGCTGTTGACTGCGTATTACTAGTATATATAATTCTGTACATTATTTGTTTGCCTGTGCTCTGTGGTAAGCAACGGTTTAAAAACGCGTATTTTGTTGAGAGTTTAATGACTTTGATTACACACAGCATCGCTTCACGCCGTGAAACAATAAAAAGAGTAATTTTTCTACAGCGCAAGACACTGAGAGAAACTTGATTTTTTTTCCGTTTTCGAAGGAGACTAGGTAACCACTTAATGTAGAATCTTTACCAAGCTTTTTTTATATCTTATGGGTCCTCTAGTGTGCTTTTTGGGGGTTTGAGGCGTTGTTCTTGCTGTTTGGTTTTTAGTTCTGCTCAAGGGATCGGGAATCAGTGCGGATCTTACGCAGGCTGCTACAAGTCCCTTAATTTGCAGTATTGAACTTCATCCTTTTCATCGAAAAGGTGCTTTAAACGTAACACTCCAAAGTGCAGATACTTCAGCTGATTAATTCCTTTTTTTTCTAATAAACCTCCTTCGAGTTTTTCTATTCATCGTGCCAGTTCTCGCAGTCACGAATTAGCGTGCTTATCGTTTCAGTAGACTAGTAAATGTATGTACGCGGGTCAAAGGTCAAGTCTTTTTTACTGTCAATGATTTTGCATTTTTTATTTTGAAGATATTCATAACATCAAAAGCAATACATAGTAACGATCATTTAAAGAGAGGGAAACGTGAGCATTGTAAAGTCAGTCCTTCAATGTTATAGAGGACATTTTAATGTCACAAAGAAGTCATTTTTACTCATTAAAAAAGACTGAAGAAACTATAAATCATAACTCCTTAAAATCTATTTTTTAGAGTTTTATCACCGTAAAACCTCTATTAAGCCACCCAGGGGCTTATTTATTTCAAAACACATTTGAGGGTATCAGTTTCTGTTAAAGCTAGCATACAAAGTGGAAAAACTCAAGTACAAGAAGTGGAAGGTCATGCAGCCAAGGATCAAAAAACAAGTCCGAACTTCCAGTTGGTTAATAAACCATCCCGGTTCAGTCCACACGAAGTTTTACAGTCGAGATTGATTAATTCCGTCCATCATTTATTAGTGAAGAATTTATTAGGGGAGGGGAGGGAAGGGGGGCTTAACAGAGGGTTTATGGTAAGTAAATTTGTAGATTAAGATCTAAATAATTTATTTCTCTTTCTCGCAACCCGCGCGGGCATATAGGTCTTTGTTACATGAAGATATTTAAACCCGCGCGTTCACTTCTTCAGGTAACGTGAGCGACGCGAATAGTGTGTCTTGGTTGCGTCACTGAAACGCACGACCACGTAAAACGTTGTACATAGCCTGGAATACAGTCCGCTCTTCGTTACTAGGGATTTTTCCAGTGAAACGTCCCTGGCGGCTAAGAGTGAGGAGAGAGGGTTGTATTCGCAGGCTAAACACTGTAAAGGGACTAGGCAAGCTGTCAGTACTAGTTCAAAAGACTGATTATTCACATGCCCGTGATAATGTCAGTAAATACACTTTAGAGTACATGAATAACAATTTCATTACGAATACTACTGGAGTGAAAAGATAATAAGCAAACATTATGCATTCTTTTTTTTCTGGTGATACTTACATTTGAAATGAGCCAGGGGTAGTGGTCTTAAACCTTTTGCAAACTAAATAAAGGTTTCTTCTGTCTTCCAATACCTTGTACATGCACCAGCATACACATGTGTAATTTCTAAAGCCATAAACATGATGTATTTATAAAGGAGCCATATAATCTCAAGTATTCTTCTACGTTACAATAAGAAAATTATTTTCGTCCAATATTCTGCGCAGGTGTTCATAGTGACATGCCCATCACGTTCCTCAGCGGCATAACAAAACTGTATATTTACATCATCTTTACACTGTCAAGGGAGCATTGATTCTTTCCTCATCAAAACTAGAACATTTTGCTCTTCTAAAGTGGTACGTTGGTAAAGAGGTATGACACAGATTCACCATTGTGAGTCCTACGAATTGCTTCAGCAAGAATCATGGAAATATCTATACACTGAAATGAAATAAGAAGACGAAAAACTTCAAAAACTCAACAATTAATTCTTAAACAAAAGAAGTTAAAACGGAATCCATCAGGAAATTGAGTGATTTGAACTTTCAGTGGACAAAAACCTTGTACCAGAATAATTTAAACAATACCGCATTTTTTTTACATTTTTCAAGAGCTATAGATATTTAACAATTATTCCTCTTGCCCTCATGGGCTCTAAGTCAATAGCCCATGAGGCTGAAGGCTGAATGGGCTATTGTTTTAGTAAAATCCAACTACTTGGTCAAAAACATCGAAACAAAACAACTTTAGCTGGAAAAACGTGCTTCAGGTGCCATTGTTTTGGTTGTCAAAGCAGGAACTATTCACTAATACTAGGCTATAACATATAGCCTAGTAGTAGCTCAACCAATCAAAATGCAGCATTGATAATAGACCACTAGTTGGATTTTACTAAAATTTATTATCTGTAAAAACACCAAAGACTATTTCTCATGGGAGCCCGGGAAAATAAATGTCAAATTTCACAAGGATTGTGAAAACACAGGTAAAATTCTGAAAATTTCATTTGTAAGATGTCATTTTCTGAAATTTGACATTCGTTTTCTCCAGCTCCCAAAAGAAATTTTCTTTGGTATAACTTATTACATATATAGCCCTTGAAAAGTGTAAAAAAGAATGTAATTTTGTTTAAATTATTCTGGTAAAAAGTTTTTGTCCAATGGAAATTAAAAATACTCAATTTCCTGCTGGATTCCGTCTTAATGTGTGATGAGTCTTTATGTCTGATAAAGACAAGACTAAATTTTACGTCCAATTTTTTAGACCGGAATAACCCCAAATCTAAATATTAGTATAGGTAATAGCATGATTTGTAGTGATATTTGGCATATATACTACGAGTTATATTTCGAAATTGTTGTACGTAATTTCATGAGCCGTTAGGTGAGTGAAATTTGAGACACTTTTGAAATATCACAAGTGGTAATTATGCCAAATATCACGAACAAATTATGCTATTATTAATTTGTTTATACTACTACCCGCAAACAGTTTCTAATTTTCACATGTAGGTATTTCAAATTAAGCTGAAATACCACTGTTCCAAGCCAATCAAATTTCAGAGATTTCTCTTACAGTAGTATAAGTGCAAGAATGAGTCGATCTATATCAGAGATTTTGAAGCCGTTCAAAAAAGTCACATTCGTGTATTATCAGGTTTAAAAACTCTTGGCTTTGTCTCGAGTTTTAAACTTGATAATACACTCCTGTGAGTTTTTTAAACACTACATCAAGGATCTCTGTTGTTTCTTTAAAAAAATCAATATCAGAGAGTTCTGTTTCATACACATGTACTAACACACTTTTTTTAAGGTCAGGAAATTTAAGAAATGGTAAACATGCAGCGTGCAACCATGGAGTTATGGATGCACGCGGGAGGTTGCTAAGCACGAAAGAAACGTAAGAGTCGCACAAGGCGATAGCCGAGTGCGACTCTAACTTTTTGAGTGCTTAACAAACCTCCCAAGTGCATCCATAACTCCATGGTTGCACAGCTGCAACGTTTACCATTTCTTTTATAACATAATCAAAAGAGAAAAACATTATTTTCCATTTGCCTTCGGTTGAGTCATCGGTACGAGTCCAAGTATGCTGCCACCTGCCCGCGCGTAAACAAATCATGTTCTATGTTTTTCAAAAACTTGCCTTTGAGTTTTTCTTTTGCTGAATCAACCGTTCTCCGTCTTAAGGTAAATTGCAAAACGTTTTTCGTTGTTATTCTGAATGGCATTTGTCTACTTGCTCTTAATATTAGGGTAAAAACTTTGAGGGAAAACTATAGCTGCAACTATAAACACCAACTAAAAAGACTTTAAAAACAAGCTAAAACTAAACAAATGAAATAATTATCAATCTTATTTATGTGACAATTTTTGAAATAAACGCAAAATAGAAATGAGAAAATTTAAAGGTAATTCCTTTAGAATAACAGGTAACACTAATTTTAAAAAGAAATTAACTAGCTTTGTATCGAAATCTGTCTGGGGAAATCCAGCTATGAAAGTCAAAGTTAAAACTGAAATTCGCCGACACACAGCCGGCGCTGAAGCTGTTGTTTTTCGACCGTTCTCTGAACGACTGTTATGAATGAACACCGAGGAACAAAATAATGCACACAGAAGTCATTTTTTGAGAAATTTATTTGAAAATCCAAATGTTTCTGTACTCAAATGAAATTCGCTTATTCCAGCGTAATGTGCCCGTTTAAACCCAACTAAAATTTTTAATTGATGTGATGAAAACTTCACAACAAAGCTGTCTCGAATTTGGGCGTGTTTCCTAAAATATTTGCTTGAATTTAGCGTCAGCTTGACCAAAAAGTCAATAACACAATGCTAATTGATAAATTTACATTTCAAACAGACTTTCTCTTCTACAAAAAACATACAAAATGTACCTTAAATCTTCGCTCGCTCGATTTTCCTTCAGCCGATTCTAGCCGCGAGGAAAGCAGTGATTAATTCATCCGGGGCAAATCTGTCGCTTGATCTTTTTTCTTTGTTCCTTCAAAACCACAGCTTAGTATTCTCTTCAGCTTCTACTTTTCATCTGTGCATTTCAACTGTGTATTTTACCATCAGGAGAGGAGATTTGTTGAATTTGCCTAAATTTTACCGCACTAGCTTAGTTTCTTGGCGTGCACCCACAGGCAAATGGTAGTGGCTAACTGACCAATCAGAGCGCGCGGTTTGCTTTTGTTATGTTATAAATGGTATTATCAAAGAAGGTACGGTAATAATATCGCAGAAATATTACACAGCTAAAAATATTATTTTAGTTCTGCAAGCATCATACAGCTGCCATTTGGAGTTTTACAAAGTGGTTATCTTTGTTCTTTATGTAAGGTATGGCTGTACATCATGTATGACAGCATAAAGTGACACTTGTGAACTAAAAAAAAGTAAGATTGTCCTGCACTTTTTCTACCCTTTTATAGGCTGTGTACATGCTCCTCCCCTAAACAAAATTAGGGAGAGAGTATCAAATTGGTCCAATTGTTTTGGTGGGGAGGAGGTAGTTGTACAAGGGCAACAGACGTGTCCATTTAAAGAAGCTGTCAATGGTTGTGAAATTAAAAAATAAAAAATAAAAAAATTTACAGAAATAAAAAAAAAGTGTGTTTGCATACCTTGATTTTAGCACAGTTTTGCATCTTGCTGTCCTGTGGGATGGTATTTGTGACCACAACAGCTTCAAGGTCGCTTTCTTCGATTCTTCGCAGAGCAGGTCCAGAAAAGATGCCATGTGTTAAAATAGCGTACACTTTAGATGCTCCAGCATCTTGCAATCTGAATAAATGAAGGAAAAAATGGTTGAATGGCAAAACAAAATGCAAGGGAAATAGTTAGGGTTTGGACAAAACGCAAGTGAAATTATTCCCAAATTTCACTCGTCACCACTTGATTACACATATATATCTCTATTAAAGCACTTACTTCTGTGCAGCAAGTGTAAGAGTTCCACATGTGTCGGCCATGTCATCCACAAGAATTGCTGTACGATCTTTAACATCTCCCACAAGCACCATGCTCGCAACCTCATTGGCAACTTTTCTCTGGTTATCAAAACCACAACATAAGAATTTTGTAATGCCATGTCTGTATAATAAATACATGCAACATTTTTTTCAAGAACATAAACTGCCCATGACTATCCTTGCAAGAGATCGACTGTTTTACTATTATAAGCAAAATAAAGGAGAAGTCTTGCCTATTTTAGCCTCAAACATCAGAAACTACATGTACAAAGGAAAGCCTTTAACGTTAAACATACGCTGTCAAAAATGTAAAGCAGTTCTTCAAAGCTGATGATTTTAAGCTACTTATTTATGGTCAAAAATGGTTAGCTCGAACCCTGGTCTGGATTATCTCCACCTGTTATCCCCTTTGCTCAGGAAAATGCAGATTACTTTTCTGGAATTACATGTATTTACTGAGAATTAAAAAGTAACAGAATAGATGCTTTTAATGTGCAATTGTACCTCTTTATGGATTAAAGCAAAGCCAACATTCAAGTGATCAGCAATTGATGTTACTCTGAAGGAAAAAAAAAAGATAAAATTAATTCCTTTGTGAGATGAGCTTCATCATAATGCTGTATCAGAACAAATGCTGTAGTGACGAAATACCAAACTGCCAATCAAAAAAGCCAAGACATTGATAAGGTAAATTCATGCATTTTAAAGATAAATTTTTTCTCTCTCGAGGCAGAAAACTATTTCAGTGCTGTTTAGTTGTAGAAAGACTTAACCAGAAGTTACGTTCTGTATGTGGTGAAGGCTACATGTTGATAAATCAGGGGTACCCAACGAGAATGTAGTTCAAAACCACTTAAACATAGAATTGTTAAACGTATTTTAGTATTTAAACGGTAGATATAGGCATATTTTTATCCCCTAAAAATTTTTCATCTGTTCGGATTTCTTAGCTGAAAGTCTAGTAATCCGAAAATTATAGGGATCAAAACTTAACTTTTCGAAAATTTCAGCCAGAAAAAAGGCTCCCGAAAATTCTAGGTGACCTTTTAGGGTAAAAATCCGTTAAAAATAGGCAATTATACCATTTTTTAGATGTTCGAAAATCCTAGGAGAGGTAGGCAAGCAAGAAATTTTACAACAAATGTTCCGAAAATTCTAGATCTCAAATCGTCTTCCGAACAGATATTTTTCCGAAAATTGTCGTTGGGTGCCCCTGATAAATGGTTAGGTTGAGTATCAGGCTTCAGATCAACACTTAAGGTATTAAAATAACTTTGTAGAACAAAAGACTTAGTTATGCTTTCACATCCACAAGAGGATAGATATTCTAGTTTTCTAAACTTAGTACGAAACTCTGTGGGCCCCATTTGGTGATCAAATTGCAGCTGAAGATTAAAAACAAATTCGAACTTCTAGCGCGTGAATATACCATACCAGATCAGTCCACATGAAGTGTTATCATCCGTAGACATGTATGAATAAATACAGTCTATCATATAAGAATAAGGGGGGATGGTAGCGGGCCTAAAAAGAGAGGGGGTCTTATAACTTTCATTCCCCTAAAAGGGGGGCTTATTAGAGATACAAGGGCTTACCTTTTAGCTCCACCAGCATCTGGCGACACTATTACAGACTGCTGCCAATCAAGAATATGCTCTTTGATCCATTTTAACACAGCTGGTTCTGCATACAAATTATCTACTGGTATGTCGAAAAAGCCCTGAAATGGCCAAAAAGACTTGATCAAAAGTTTGCAGGAAGTATAAGGTAAATTCATTTGCTTTTAAAATCGGTTTGGTAAGTTTAAAGTCACAATAATTCTGCTGCAACAAGAATGTTCCTGTAAAACATAGTACTAACCTGTATTTGAGACGCATGAAGATCCATGGTGATGATGTGATCTGCACCTGCTACGGACAGCATATTGGCAACCAGTTTAGCAGAAATTGGGGCACGACTCTGCAATAACCAATACGTGATTGCATAAGTGAATTATTTGGAAAAGTCAGTGGATAGTAGTGTTTGGCAGTGAACAGCATGTGTATGCATGTATTACAATGACAACACAAAAGGGCATGACCATAAAATAATAACATTGTCATGTCGACGAGTTACAGAATTTAATGCAGTCTCTTAGTTTCTTTTCCTTATGCTGACACCAAAGGCTTCTTGTATTGAAAACATTGAGAAAAATAAGAGACCAGCTTCCCAGCAGCTGCAATGCAATGCTGTAGACCAGTTGTTTTTAGTTTTAAACTGAGGCATACTTTCAAAAAGAAAGGATTTAATTATTTACACATTCCTTTACATAATATTATTACAAATTTTAAATATCCTCTGCTCAAATCGTTCACATCTGCTAGGATGGAAAAAAAAAAACAAAACAAAACAAAACTATACATGATACAAAAAGATGCAACTAAGTTATTAAAATACAACATTGTGGAATTACAATAAATACTTGATTATTTCAAAATGTAAAAGTTTATTGAATGAAATCTTAAACTTGTCTTTCCACACTCCTACACTGAATATAGAAAATAAGTTTTTTGAATACATGTATTTCTCCTAAATGTTTAAGGTAAATTTATCTTTAAACTTTAGACATGAGCAGAAGTTTCTTCCAGTAATAGGGACCTTAAGATACTCTGGACGTGGCCGAGGAGGGCGTCAACCGGAAGTGAAATGTTCAATTCTTGGAACTAATTAGCATAATGCCACAGCGTCGACCTGAAGTCGCGACGGTGAAAACTAGAAGTTTGGCCGCCTCGCAAAACCGTAAACGGTGAGTTGGTTTTCTTGTTTTCAGTGCAGAAATTACTTTTCGTACAGGATTTTCGATCCGTTTTACTTAATGAGACACATTTAAGTGTTTTTAGTGAGGTGTTCTCTCAAGATTGCCTCTTATTTTTTTGCTAGCAAGCCTTTTGGGTTCAGTGTTTTGGCGGCAACTGAGAATGAAAGTGCTGAGTCTTTCAACACAAATGTAACACTATAACTGCTTGTTTTTAAGGGGACAACGTTCTCGCTTTAGGATAGTATTTGAAAACTTTAAGAGACAAGAAGTCGAATAAAAATTGTTGAAAAACAAAAAATCTAGGCTTGTAATAAACTTGAACATGTCGGAGAAAATTGAGATCTTGAACAAGACGCCATGGTTCATTTATTACCTTTTATAATTTTATTTTGTTCACTTTCAGTTCAGCGATGGAGCGGTATCATATCCTTTTAAAGGAAGATCTAGAACAACGGAAAGCAAAAAAGTCTGGCAACAAATAGCTGATAAACTGAACTCCGATCATACCCTCAAGTTTCCCTCGAAGAAATTCGGTTTTTTTTTTAGAGAAACTGGAGTAATAGCCGGCAGCACTAATTTTTCTTCCAATAAAAGATCGTTAAGGTATCAATCAAGCAAGACTTCACGACTTATGGAATTAAAACACGAAAGCATAATTAATTTTTATCCTCTCTCGTCAGGCGAGCACTCAACCCAACCTGCTCAATCTTAATTTGTTTTTCCCGCGAAGGTGGCGGCGTCCTCGCTCCAGGCTTTCTCCGTTCTCTTTACCGCCGTGTCCAGGGTATCTTAAGGTCCCTAATATTTTTGGTGCCTTCAGAACAGCATCCTCTTGTTTAGTCATTTTATACTGTCTTGCCTTAACCATGATAAAAAATAGGTTTTCCATAAAAAAGGACCATAAGAAGGGATAACAAATCAATAAATAATTAACACTTGTAACTAAAGGATAATTTAACTAAGGTTATTACATTATTTTACCTTATCTTTCTTGTCCTGTCTTGCATATGGAAAGCACGGAATGACCGCTGTGACACGCTGTGCTGATGCAATCTTACAAGCATTGATCATGATTAACAGTTCCATTAAGTTGTCATTGATGTCACCACAGCCACTTTGGACAATGAATACATCTTCTCCACGCACTGATTCACCAATTTCAACACTGGAAATAAAAAAAAAATAAATAAACAGTGGCATTTAGCATAATAGAGCAACCTTAGTGTGGCTGAAGTTTCCTTTCACCCCCTAAAGATACCAGTCTATATTCAATAAAAGTTAATAGTATACCGAGTGGTAGCAAACTGATAAATGCGCTACCCTGCCAGTGGTGATATCTTTTCTATCCACACGTGTGACATCATTTTTGACCAATCAGCTCACAGTATTTTCGCATGCTGCCAAGCACTTGCATGGTGGTTTGCCATCATTTGGTCTTTTCGGAGTTTTTGTGTTGGTCTTTTAGTGAGTTGAAGTTAAGTTTTATGCTTAAGTTTATCATAAAAATGGAGACAAGCAGATTTGTCAAGATATTTTTCAACACTCAGAGAAATTTCTTATCTCTGTGCAGCCATGAAATATCCTCTATAAATCAGATAGCCAAATAAAAGCTATGGTGATTTCAATTGGGAGAAAGACGTTGTCATTTGTTCTTTTCCTTCCTTCTTTTCTTCCTCTTTGTCTTACTACACCCAAAGACCTGAGGCAAAAATATTGGCATTCTGTTGTGAACACACTAAAAAATACCAAAGTCCCAGGGGGGGGGGGGGGGGGTGGGAACGTACTCTGGATTTCAAGTGACGGGGATGATGCAATAGGGCCAAAACTCAAAACGGAAAAAAATTCCTCGGGCTTCCAACAAAACCTAAAAATATCCCTGGACCAAAGATTAACCCCCCCCCCAAAAAAAAAACCATGCTGAAATTAATAATCTCCAGAAAGCATGAAAATAATGATATAACATGAAAAATGAAAACATTAGAAATTGAATGCTTATGTTTGTTTACTCCTCATACCATCTGAAGTTATCTTTTCCACATCTGGTAGTTGTCATTCTAACAACACTCAAGACACCTAAGCCTAACAGCCTACTCTCGCATAATAAGTTTGGTTGTACATGTTTGTACTATATTCACAGAACTACGCAGCTAGAATATACGGCCCTACCAGGAATCTTCAGATTGTTTTGAATAGCCAAAGAATCCATGCTTTAATCAAGCCATCCAAAAAAAAATTCTTGCCAAATTTTCCTTCCTAAAAAACTCCTGGAATTGAAAATTTCAAACATAAAAGATTCTTCAATCATCCCTGTCACTTGAAATCCAGAGTACTCAACTGGGATTGAAGTACATGCTTTAACGCGTTGACAAGCAACTCCTAACTCCTACACTGTAAGCTTCAATCATCCAACTTGCACGTTAAAAATAATAATATTGTTAACATGTATTACATGTAACTAACATTAAATTTTAATACCACTACATGTATTACTATAAAACATTATTTTTACTAAGAAGTTGCACAGGAAGCTGGGCCAAAATTCATCCCCAAAACAGTCTCATAGTGTAAATTGAAGCATCAATGACCTTCCACTCAAGCACAACCTCAAATGGTAACCTGTTTTCACATGACATCATTTCAATATTCAACGAGGACAGACAGCAAATTGCTGTTCAATGCTTGAAATATCTAAAAGTCGTAACTCTTCATCCGTAGGATGCCTAAAATGTGTGCAATTCCACAATAATTGGTTTCGGCTCCATTAAATCCTATACCAATTGGACAACATTTTAGGAGGAGCCACCCACAATGTGAGCACACTTACTGACAGGGTATATTGAGTGGGAAAACAACCCACAGAAAATGTAATGCACTAAATAACAAACTAAATACACGCGTCAATTATGATAAAAGAGAGCGTGCACATATTTAAATATTGACGCACACAACCTACATTAACTGAAAGGGTAATAAAAGGATTAAATAAATAAAAGATATGGTGGCACCATTCAGCCATTGATTGCCAGACTCATCTCCCGCAGTGTAGCGTAGTTTGATGCCTGCCATGTTAGTGTCCCAAACCAAACCTTTGAGACCTGAACTTTCTTTCATGTAAACACTTTCTTTTGTGCTAATAAATTTGAATATCTGCTAGCCACATGAGTAAAAAAGCTCTATAGTCCTCTGTGGTGTTGCTTGACTGGTTATTTTGCAATGGGATGTTCCATTGCCTTTTTCATTCCAATCCCCCCCATCCCCCATATATGAACGACGCAGATACTCCCGGCTCGCAGTTTTGTCAAGCCCTTTAGAGGTAAAAGGTAAAGGCGCACTCGAGCCAAAGGCCCACACGGCCAGAGCTCATACTGGTTTCCATAGCATGAAGCATGCCCAGGAGTATTGCTACTCCCCGCTAGACAGGATGCTAGTCTATCACAGGGTTACCCCCCAGCAGTATGTCGCGGGTACTCATTTATACACCTGGGTGAAGAGAGACAAAGTGGAGTAAAGCTCCATGTCTAAGCAAGGGTTTCAATAATAACTGAAGTAAGCAGCAGGTTTGAATAGAATACCTGACTGTATAAACAAGTGGCCGTTAATCCTGTGCCTCTAGGGGGGTCTGGGGGCATGGTCCCTCAGAAAAAAAGGGCGATCACAGTAACAATGAAACGTACCCACGTGCATCTCTTAGCTCGCTACATAACACAAAAATACGTCAAAACCAAAATAATTTTGATATACACACTGAACATGGTTTACACGAGACATGTGATATCTCCTTCCACAAAACTTAAAATCTTTGATTAATGATTTACGTCGCGTCTATATTCTACAACGTGACCGTTTAAAAGACTTATTAAGCTTAACCTTATAGTGAATCGCACCAAATAAGCTGAGGGTTTGAAAGTATCACCTTGGCGCATAGTAAGCTGTAGGCCGCGGCGTTATTTCCTTGTTGGAATGAAAACAATGTAAAGAGCGTTTCAACAGAAAGCTCGAACACGTTAAGTCACCTGAGCTCGCGGCTTACCTCGTTTCCTTGTTTGAAAACTTTTTTAACACACATTTACCAAGGTCGTTTCCCAGCCGCTCAGAAATCAATTTTGCCAGTTGCTGATGCGAATTTCCGCCAAAAATCTTTATGTTGGGCATCTTCAACGACGCGTTATGGCATTCAAATTGATCTGAAGATCTAGTCATGCAAAGATTATGGCGGCAAATCTAGACGAAGAGTAAGTACTTCATGTAACTTGGACGCGAAAATTGACGATTGATTTCCGGGCCGGGCTTGTGGGGGCACTTACGGGAAGTTTAGCGGGTAAAGATATACTGCGGATGCCTTTAAACCCTGACCCTGTTTAAGACAAAAATTATTCATTTCGCTACCCTCCTGACCTTATGCATAATGACCCTAATTTACTTCGTTTTGCATAGTTTTAATATTTTAGCGTCATCAAAAAATTGCTGGCACCACAAAAGCAGACCGCTTATTGCTGACCTTTCACTCTCTTTTAAATTCTTTCAAGGCGAAAAAATACCTTATTCAAGACGCGAAATATTTAGCCTGTTCCAGGTGTTAGATTTTGGGGACGACGCACAGAGACTGTGAGCCCGGATTTGAGCAGAGAAAACGGCGAGGGGTTGGGGCACGCACCCCACTCCACTACTGTTTGAACGCCTTGGACAGGCTACCAAAATTCATGAAAATGTTTACCCTGTTTGAAGTCTCAAAACTCCCATACTGCCGCGGCCGCCTGGTTAGCTCAGTTGGGAAAGCGCCGGTCTGCTGAACGGAGGTTCTTAGGTTATGACTGAGGAGAAAGTGCTGCCTTTGCATTAATAACATCTGCAAACGGTTAGACTTGCTTGTCTTCTCGGATATTGAAGGAAGAAAAACCGTAGGTCCCGTCTCCCAGCACTGTCCTTTATCTGGTTCTTGTGGGACGTAAAAGAACCCACACCGCTGTTCGAAAAGATTGGGGGACGTGGACCTTGGTGGTGTGGTCAACCTCTACAGGGGGTGGAAGTGAATAAATATATAAATAAAATAACACACACACCCACGGGTATATACCCGTTTAGGCGAACCCGACATGGGGATCATATCCGCTGCACCCTTAACGTTTAGGCAAGGCTCCGTACGGTAGGGTAGATTTTGTACAGAGTTTTCGGGTGAAAAATAAGCAAGAAAGCAAGCAGAGAAAGTAATGCAGAGTAACAGAGGAGGTATATAAGAGGGTGCCAATGGGGGTAACCAATTCTCAGTTAACTACTAGTTTTTTCGGCCATATATCAGTTAACTACTATTTTTTTGGCCAATTCTCAGTTAACTACTAATTTTGGTTAGCTATTAACTTTCACTTTCCTACAGCAAATATTATTCGGTCTTAGCCCGAATTTTCTTTTCTTCAGCACGTCAATCACTTTTGGGGGTAGGCCCTACTAAAATCAAGGAATAAATTTACATGAATTCACATAAACTCCGCCACTAGTACAATTTATAAGTAACTGAAAATATGGAAAAGATCATAATTATCTAACCGGAGTAGCAAAAATGGGTAAGCGATAGCTGTTAAGACAGTACCGATTTTTGCTGTAAGTACAAATTAATCTCGTACCCAGATCTCCCACGGCCAAGGGAGTGAGATCTGGGTACGAGATTAAGTACAAATTAGATCCAAGTCTGATAACCATCATTATGACAACTGCCTCATAGATCCAGGCGAACCAGTGATGATCTCGTGCTGATCTTCCCGAACGGGTCATGCATTAGCCTGAATTTCATCCGATTACTTCGTTTCTGTTTGCCGGGTACTGCTCTGGTGCCTTTTGCACATATTAATATCAGTTAATGTGCCTTTGGGTCCTCAGCGGGACAGAAAAAAGTCAGAAAATAGCATTTCTGTTTGCAAAACTTTGTTGCTTTCATTGACATCAACGATTGTATTCAGTATAATTGATAGAATGTCACTTAACTTTTTAAACTGTTTTAAAACTTTTCATTTCTCAGTCAACTACTAATTTTTTGGCCAATTATCAGTTAACTACTGTTTTTTGGCCAAATATCAGTTATAACTGCTAACCCCACTGGCACCCTAATATAACCCTGATGATTCAGGGTTATATACTTGAGCTTCTGGCTGTGAACTTCGCGCGATCTCATAATGCGGTCCTTTTCTTCTTTTTACAAGGCACTCTCGGACATGTCCTTGAGTGTGGCAGCCCCGGAGGGGGAGGGGGTACTCCCCTAAATTACCTATACGGGTATGTGCCGCCCAAAGGGGTCGTGATTTTGAAGCTTCTGATTTAGAACGGGGTATCCATTTCAGAGGCGTTTTCTAGAACGGGGTATAATATTTCGAACGTACGAAAGCTCCACTTTTGTAAGCAGCCATTTGAAAGTATTCAAGGACATATTGCTTTTAAAAATACGTTTCAATGCGTTAACAAGCAAACCGTTGTACTCTTGTTGCACCCTACAACGGAGTATAAAAAATTGGCCCATTTCTAGAACGGGGTATCAATTTTAGGGGAAATTTTTTCTAGAACGGGGTGCCAATTTGGAGTCACGGGCGGCACATACCCACCCAAAAAATAACCAAGTGCCCCCCGGGGAGCAGCCCACGTCGCAGACGTCATTTTCAAAAATGAATGTGCACGTGTATATGAAACTTGAAAACAATGCCAGTGAATAATGACGACGCTCGCTTGTAAACACAAAATCTCAGGGGAAAATTGGCTATATTTGAGGCCCTATTTAAAAGTCTTCCCTGTTTTCAATGTTCTTAAAACTTGCAGGGAATATTTCTTGTCGATTGATCTCGGGATTGTCGAATTTATAAAAAAATTTATCGAGCAGTTTTTGGAAAAATGGGAAATTTTTAGGCATGGACCAAATTACCTCCAAAGACTGTATCAAAAGCATCTGACTGCAAGTTAATAAAATCCTTCTTACTCGCCATCGCCCAGAGCAATTCCCCTCTTTTTTTGTAGGCAGTTTACAGTGGAATCAAACCACTATGAGATGAAGCTGCGTTCCCAAAGCTTATCATTTTCTTAAAATATTGGCGAATTGTGCGGCTAGCATGCTATTTTACTGTTTTTATGATTCTTAAAACTGCATTTCAGAATATTTCGAAAACGCTCCCATAGAATTTCCTCAAACTTTGCCATAATGGAGGCAATTATGGCAGGTACATACTCCCTTAAGCGATTTCCTCAAAAAACTCCTGGTACAGAGAAACAACGATATATGAAAAACGTAATGGCGTCATTACGTTGTCATAGCGACTCCGATTGCAATAAAATCCAGAGCATAAGAAATTTTCATCTTTATATAATACAGTTGTGGTAACCTTTTTTCCATATCTTTACTCATGCCGACGTAGTTAATGCTCAAACTTGGGAGGTATCCCCCTCAAAAAATCCAGTCCAGCCACCTTAACCTCAGTTAGTAACGAACTGACTTTACTTAACCAGAGTTTAGTTTCGTTTGTGGCGCAGGGTGTAGGGGCTTTTTTGCGATTTGGAGCGGCAGGATCTACAGGTATAGAGTTATGAAGCCTACTGTACTGGATAGCATAAAAACGCAAGAGGAAGATGGCATTTTCGAGACGCTAATTAACAAATTTTCTGGGGGAGCATAGCCCCCAGACACCCCCATGGGGCACCTTCGGAGCTGACTAGCTAGCTAGCCACTTCCAAGCGCCCAGGTTGTTCAAAAGCTGGATAGCGCTATCCACCGGATAAATCACTATCCAGCAGATACGTATTACGGGAGACGATTGCGTTATACGCTGGATATCGCTATCCAACGTTTGAACAACCGGGGCCAGATCGTGAGGACGGCGCTAAGAGATGTGAGCGGGAGAAACAGCCCGCTTGCGCCGCATTCCACTGTCTGAACGCCTGAAACAGGCTACACTCTAACTTTTCTTCCCGTGCGTACAACGTTGTTCTCAGGTTCTCTCTCCTGCCCGTCGTCTCTCTCGCTCGGTAGGGCCAGGGCGGATAAATGTGGTAGGGCGAACGAGGTTGCTCGTGCGTGCGTACACCTTAAAAAACTCACACTATACCCTTGACTAGCCGTATCTTATCGCTTATGAAATCAATGCTCAAATGAAGGAAGAAGAGAAGCACAAATCATCGTAAAACTTGGACTAGAAGGGTTGGGCGGGGTGCATGTTCAAAATTTTTATTTCGGAACTGAGGGGTACAATTTTCATATGAATTTTGTGTGTGTGGGGGGAGGAAGTAAAGTTTTGACACACCAAACTTTTCTGAAAACCCCCACCCCATGGGACGTAATAAATGATCGGTCCCTTGACCACCCCCCCCCCGGTTTTTCACGCGGATTTTTCCTGTATAGACCTGTTCGGCTAACTCAATGTTGTACCCAATTCAAACCCTTTGGGAATAAAACGTTTTGTTTCAGAAATTTCCATATCCAGTTAAATGTGAATGCCACATTATAATGCAAATACAATACACAAAGAATCTTATCCCCGGGAGATTTGAATTGGGTACAACATTGAGTTAGCCGAATAGGTCTATTACCTCTGGAAGCCAACTTTTGCCATTTTCGGTGCAACCCCTTTCAATCTTTGTAAGAGGTTTTAGGAGGGCTTATCAACAGAGGGGCTTGTATCCGAGGAGTCTTATAACCAGAAGAAAAGAGGCGCTTAGAAACAAATTATAGGAATGCTGATATGCATTTACTGGTTTATAATTGGGCTTTTTAGAAACATATTATATGGCTACAATAGTATGTGCACTCTGACTGGATGTTTTCTTATAATGACCAGGCATTGCTCGCTTGGTGTCCAAGGCATACATGTATACAATCTGCGTTTAACTTGATAGTAGACATTCTTGTCGACATCCATGTTATATTCAATTGACAGCTGTCAAAAACAGAATCCGCCAACCAGTCTCACCTAACTGTATTGCAGGCTCAAAGTATACAACTCATCGAGGTCACGTGTTTGTTGGTTTTAATCGATTGCAGTCTCGGGTACATAATGAAAAGGCCGTGTAATAAAAAATAGCTGTTGTCGTCCATTCAGTCATTACGGGAAAATCTCAGACCTAGGCCTTTATGTATTGACCTCGCTGTTGCTCATTCAAAACATCAAGGCCTAGGTCTGAGGTTTCCCTGTAATGACCTCACTCTCAGTTAATAAGTAGTATATAATAACTCAAATCCATTTCAATACAAGATAGAGGGTGGCTTACAACCTTATCCCCAGGGATTTTCTGTTCGAAAATAGGAGGAAAAAACCCTGGGAACGAGGTTAGGGGGGCTTAAACCCAGGGGCTTATATTTAAATGTTATTTTTTTTGTTTACAGGTAGATGGGCCTATAAACAAGGGAGGCTTATTCCTATCCTAGCAAACAACAACAACAAAAACAAAAACAAACAAACAAACCATGGGAGGTCTATTCTATAAGAATTGGTCGAGGAGCTCTGTGCAGGCCATAACAAACAACACTTGATGGTGAATTCTAATTAGGTGATGAGATATGCACAAGATCCATTGCATGATAATAGAAAAACAAACACCAAAACAAACAGAATTTCCAAAGATACAAAAGTAATCAGCTTTAATTTACATAGACATACATGACATTGAGTTACGGTACCCATGTTACCTTGCTATGTTTGTTCTAAAAGCAGCTATTTGCATACCAGCGTATTACACGCTTTTCACTACCAGCAAAAACAATCACCTGTTATTTTGACTGTTCAATTATAAATTGTAAATAATTATGTCAAGAATCTTACTATGTAAAATCTTGTTTATCCTTTTTACGTTCAGCTATCAAAATTAGAAGAGAAATCTTTCATGCTAACAGAGTGTATGTGCGGTAATGAAAGGAAGAGACATCACGTATCATAAACGGATTTTTTTGGTGCCTGATATAAGCTTGTTTTGCTTTATTATTTCATTAATTTTGTTCCTAATGGTGAAAATCACAGTTACATTCTTTTAATAAAGACAATACTTGGAGAAAAGATTAAACTTTTACTCAATGTTTGATTTGTCTATTTATTTAAAGACTGTAACAACTGAATCAAACTCTAAATCTCCCTTATCATTGGCCTGAATGGACTTTGTCCCCTCTAACTTCCTTGTTAAGGCATCTTTTACAGAACCATACACCATTCTCTTCTTCACAGGACATTCATCACTTATCCTAAGAAAAAAAATAAGAAAAAAAGAAAGAAAATTTTCAAGAGGGGGGCCATGAACCTCATAGTAATAATTATTAGCATATACCAAACTAAAATTAAAAAATACTGTTTGTTCGGACAGACCTGGAGATCCTTGTAGACACATAACTGGACTTAATGAGCAAATCTAATTAGTCTCAAAAGGGCCAAGAAAAGATTTTAACAGCAGAAGGGAGGGACTTCACCTCAGATATAAAGTTTGTATGTGGGGTGGAGAAAGAGTATTTGGGGTAAGAAGAAGGATGGGAGGGGAGGGGAGGGGAGGGGGAATCCAAACGATATCCCCAAAAGATTCATTTGTGCATACTTCAAGGTGTCTCAATTTCTTACAAGGCAATTTGAATCCTAGATAAAGGACAAAAATGACTACTTCACCCTTCGAAAATCAATAACACTTCTTAGAAAAGTTAAGATTAAACTGTTTACTACCATTAACTACTTGGGCCCCCGTGAAGCATGGCCTGATGGGCATGATGCATTTATCAGCTACCCTCATGGGGAGTCCATCCAGGATGTTCTAATTGGGTTGAAACATGACAGGTTTCGCCATTAATCATTCAGAGTTTGAAGGGTCTTAGATGAATGTTCAAGTACAAAGTGGGTGACTGTTTGGCAGCTTGAAGCATCTGATCTAATTTGTGTTTGCTCAACAAACCATTCATTGAAAGTATTGTTCAACATGAAAAAAATGTTCTGCTGCTATATAAAGCTCTAGAGAATAATTCTTAAAAGCAAGTGTGCTGTTTCTGAATGAGAAATACTCCTGAAAATGAGGAAAAATTCTCTTGGTCACTAGCAAAACAGACTGAAGCCGACAGCCGCTAACTGACACAAACGACTATCTCTAGCAAACAGAAGGGTTTCCCTATGTCAGCGATTTGTCTTTGATATGGCTAGCAATCACAATAACCCCATATCATTCCTCACTCCCAAATCTGAAACAAGAACTGCCTCTTATAATTTAAGATCTGGTAGTGAAAGAACAATAAACAAATTAAGAAGAACTAAGAGAGCCGACAAATTTTTTACATTTAGATATTCTTAAACTAACTAGTACAATTGTATACTCATAGCATAGTTATGTTGTATTTTTTAGATTGTATACATATCAGTTGTTCATTCAGTATTTTTTAACTGCAAGAAAGTGAAATAAACTTTTTATTATTATTTTCATTAATTCTTTCGTAAATCGCGGGTGGGAAATTTGAACTTTGGTTCACAATGTGTAACATTTGCTGCTTTTAATGGGTCTTCTTTGTTGGAAAATGTCAATATTTTTTATCTGAAAGTGGAATTTTGACTGCAAGGATGCATTCTATTCCTGATAAATGAAAGTCATTCCTGAAAAATCGGTGAAGGGTGCTAATCAAATCCTTCCCTTATGCCAAAAAATAGGTGTTTGAGAAGCGCATGTGACTACTGCGGAAGAGTAAAATGAAAATGGTAGAATGGTGCTACATTTGCCATATCCTTATGTGAATATTCGTACAGCACCATACATTTGTTATGCATTGTTAAACACATTTGAATGCTTTAAAATGCATTGCACATTTCTCAATGATTGGTAATGCATTTGCAACATTTCCCATGAATGCATGCAATGTTGTCAAATAATGAAGAATGATTTTCCAACATTGTTCAATGCCTTTTTTTTGCGCGATGATAGAAAAGATAGCAAAAGGTCAACGCAGGACACATCGTCACTCCAACGTCTTTTTTATAATGCGCTGCACACCTCCCCACACTCCCTCAGGAAGAGTGTTGCGTGACGACAGTAGACTGCAAAACATAAAGAAGAAGAGCTATTTATTTTCTTCTGGTTTGGTTGAAGAAGATTTCCCTAAGACTTCCTAAGACTTTTTATCTTTTGTGACATTGCATGTGAAGACTCACAAGACCAGAGAGATGATTGACAGGAACATCAGAACCATGATCGCGCCTGGAAGTTGACAAATAATGTAATATATGAAGTTGTTCACGTCGCTTGTCAGTCGCATAATTAGTTTGTTTACCCCCGAGAGAAACCTCTGCAGCAAACCATCTGTGGTTCTCGTTGTGCATGCACCAGATTGTTAATTCGTTACCACAGAGATAATGGTGTATACTTTATCACCTGACAGAAATACAATGCTGTCAAAAATATTTCCGAGATTTACTCCTCTTACTTCTGGACAACCAAGCATGGATAATTTGATGATAATCTCACGGCAAAAGACTATCTGAGAAATATCCTACTTGGAACATAAGAGATAAAATAAGAGATGCTAGTGGAGAGAGAAAATACTTAATTACAGCGAGTAATTTAACGGAGCTTACGTTTAGTAAGGACGTACTTTTGAAATGTTCTTTTAATTCGTTTTATACAGTATTATAGTATTGTTTGTTTAGACTTTTTCCCCTGGGGTGGGGGCTTTTTTGACACTTTTGATTGACCTTTCGTTTCCCACCCTGGGGAATTTGATCAAAAAATTTTAAAATTTGTCAAATCCCCACCCCTTGCCCGCCCTCCCCACAGGATTTACATTGATAGGTGCATTACAAAGTCATTGATTCATAATGTAAGAAAGAAAACATGAACAAATTCCCGTGGCATTAACTTACCAAGAAATCACACCCATTTTGTTCTCAACTCTTTCTCCTTTCTTAAACCAGAAGTCAAACACGATAAAACAAGGATCGTCAGTCTTCAACTTATCCTTCATGGTGTCAAAATTTTTCTTTGACTCTTCAGGTGTTTTATCCTGATATGCTCCCACTTCTTCTCTCTTGTCCGCGTCATCCTTCAGCACAATTTCGGTTCCCCCAGGATTAAGTGCGCAGAGGAAGTACATAACTTTCTTTTTTTGTTTGAAGTGATTATTGTAATAATCAACCACTTCATCACTGATTTTAATACCAGACATAGAAGACTGCAAAAGAATATTGTCCCATCTTAACAAATCAATAATAATAATAATAATAATCTTTAATGAGATAACTTTTTCACATAAAATATGGTTTTCACAAAAGATCTCCTAAAATTAACAAAAAAATACAAAATACACACAATTAATGAAGACTCATTGTAATAGAGTATTGTTTAAAAAAATAAAAAATTAAAGAACCTTACCATGTTGAAATGAATTTACTGCCACACTTGGTATATGCACTACCTGAAATAACATAATGAAACAAAAGTTAATAATGTTGTTAATGTTCCTTTCTGGGATTTGCCCTGGATTCTTTAATAGATAATCCAGTCACATGTTAAATATAAGGTTATGACAGCAAAACATCTTAAGACGGAATCCACCAGGAAATTGAGTAATTTTAATTTTCAGTGGACAAAAACCTTGTACCAGAATAATTTAAAGGATATTGCATTCTTTTTTACATTTTTTAAGGGCTACATATGTAATTAGTCATCTGTAATAACACCAAAGAAAATTTCTCATAGGAGCCCGAGAAAATGAATGTCAAATTTCACAAAATTACATCTTACACATGAGATTTTCAGAATTTTACCTGTGTTTTCACAATTCATGTGAAATTTGATATTCATTTTCTAGGACTAGCATGAAAAATTTTTGTTGGTGTTATTACAAATGACTAACACCATCTTCAGCCCTTGAAAAATGCAAAAAAGAATGCAATATGCTTTAAATCATTCAGGTACAAGGTTTTTGTACGCTGAATATTAAAATTACTTAATTTCCTAGTGGATTCCATCTTAAACTGCTAGACAGTTAACCCCACCGACACCCTCATTTTACACTTTAAGTCCCAAAAGTGACCAAAACCAATTTTTTCCTTACAACGTCAATTGATACACAATCAAGAGCAAAGGTTAGGAGAATAAAATCATAAAAAAGATCAACAAAAGGAAACTGATTTAATATTTTGTCAAATTCTCCCAACTTATCCTTTGAGGAGATATATGGAGATCAGTGTGGAGAATTTGTATGTGGATATTGGAGCTTTGAGCGTTAAAGTCTATCAGGACATCTTACAGTGGGTACACACAATCTAATACTATCAAAACTGACTGGTACCGAGAGCGTATTAGTCGGACGTGTTCTCGATTACCCCGGTTTTTAACTAGATTTCGTCAAAATCTCTTAATCTTTTCTCAGCCATGACTGGAACTGAGAAACTAAGGAAAGAAAACCAAGCATTACAAAAGTCCTCATCCATATTAAGATTTTCATTTCATTTATTTGTAAACTGTAAACTTTCCTTAGTTAATAGCCTTAGTCTTTATTTCTTATATTTTGCACGCATTGTCCCACCTCGAATAGCCTTGCTAGCTGCGGGCAATACTTTTGTAATTTTATTTGTTTATTAATAAAGTTTTGTTGTTATTGTTTGTTAAGCTGACCTCAGTGTGAGAGATTTCTTGTTCATGCACCATCCTATTAAAATTTCCTTCTGCTCTTAACAACAGACTTCCTTACGATAACACTCAAATAATAATTAACAACAATATTTCTGGTTTATTATGCCCCAGTAGGTCACAGACTGTCCAATCAGGGTTTGCAAATTTTATTGATGAGTGGAGTCACTGTGACGTCTGCTTCACAAATTTTGGAGTCATTTTGGAATATTTGACGTCAAGTATCAGAACGAAAAAAGCCATTTTCAGACTTTCCAGCACGTGGTCCTGGCATGTATTCACTATTGTGAGGGATACACGAAGTACCTGTGGCGGTACGCGGACCGGGAAAGCTCAAATCCATGATGGCGGTCATCAAGTACACTTTGATCGTAATTTTCCCTCTTCCCGTTTCGTCGTGCGGTATAATTCTTTAATTTTGATGATTTAATTAAGGTTTACAACGTTTACAATTAATGTAAATTGTATTTGTTGCGAAAAAGGTAAGGACAAAACTGTGTTTGATACCAAAGATTTCTGATTCGTCTGTGATTAAAAAATATCCCCAATTTTTAATACTAAAAAAGTTGGACAGTCTGAGGTCACTAATTTACGATCAATATATTAGGAACTGAGACTGGGCCTAAAGACTAAGAAATGGTTAGAATATATTCCAGCAATATTGACTGTTTACATTTGAGCTTTGTGACCTTTTGTCTTTATGGAGCACAGTTCTTTCTGCAATGCATGACGGGGTGATTCTTGTTCTTAACACTTAACAAATTAATGAGGGGATTTCATTCCGTGTGCAATAACTTGGAAATTTGATGGTAAATTATGTTTTACTTTAGAGAAGACTCATCAAGAAAAGGGCATGTTTGTAACTTAAAACTGTTTTTGATTGTTTCTTGTATTAAAAAAAGTTCTTTGAGATGTTAGGCAGCTGGGCAAAGTCGCATTCGCAGCCGGTCAATTTGCCTGGTGCCTGGCCCTTAATGAAACCCCTGCTCACAACAAACAATAACAACGAAAAACCCGTGGAAACTTGAACTGTACATCTTCAATGACTAAAATCGTCATCTAATTTTGAGAGTATAAAATGACTTGACCACTATTTCTTGTATTGGCAAATTTCATTGCTTGTTTGCTCCCTGAAATACCTTAAGACATTGCTTTTATCCCATCAATATCCTAGAGTGCATGCAAAGATGGAAAGTATCCTGAATAAGGTCCATTGGTTTAAACAGAGTTCCAATTCTCAATAAACCACTATGAATTCAGCTGTTACATAGAACAAAAATTTAACTATATGGCAAGGTTCGTTTTGAAGTTGTTTCAAAGAATACCAAAGTGGAACTCTTGCAGTGCAGGGCTGTGCACTAGTTAGCAGTGTCTCATGGCCCCTGAAAACTTCCTTTTTCCCTTTGGGAGGTGAGAGGTCTTAGTTGTTGCATTTTTACGATTATATGCTGGGTACCCTGGAAAGAACAGTTGTTCAGAGTCTGCTTAAATTGTTCCAAATCCTGTTCAGGGCTTGGGCGCCCAGCAATAATTATTATTCTTCTCGAAGTACGTACAGGCTTGCAAAGACCAACTTATTCAGGATTATTAACCTTGCAAACTACGTGGTCTAATTTTGACAAGGGTAAAAGACAGCAAAACTCTCGTGTTAGGTGGGTGTTCATTTGAAGAGTGGGTTTTTATCAGATCAATACAAGCACACATCGGAAACCAATAAAATCGCAACAGCCGTAGGACAACAAGAATCCTCTTACGTGAATCGAAGAATGCCTTGAAAATTGAACTGTTGGTTCGACAATAGTGTGCTAAGAAAGGCTCAGCTAAATTCCCAACTTCCATTAACCACTTCAACTGTTTTCAACTTAAAATGGATTTCTTACTGTTACATTCAACGACAATTTTGTCGGGATTCATTCGATTAAAAGAGGGGATGGCGACTTTTGATGACTTTGATCAAAGTGGGCCCTCATACCACTGGCAAAGATGACAATGAAATTAAACAACTCACATTTCTCCGTCCAGAAAGATAAACTTTGTGGAAATCAGGGCCCCTTACTTTCTAAACAGTGTTGAAACGCGTGTAGCATTGTGTCGAATACGCCCAGCTACAAAATCATGCATGGGGATTATATATTGAGCGGGTGTTGTTTCCATCGGCTCTCAAATCTTTGCCAACGAACTATCGAATAAGGAGTATACTACTCCTACTCAGGACGTAACTAACCAAATTCCAATAAACTTTTACCTGTTGAAAAAGATGCTTGAAGCAGAATCTTCCCTTCGCAGTCGTACTGAAAGCGTTATGAGCTAAGGAAAGGAGTGGAACCACACGTTGACCATATATGGCCAACAATCCCTGCTGTCTCTATCAGGCCATATAAGGGTAGGTTTTTTGACTGTCCATCATCTTGCGCAAAAGGACACTGCGTTGCCCTTGGATGTACACGCGCGTGTCCACGCGCAATGGATATAAGCCCGGGATATAATCATCTCATATCCAACAAGCGCGAATGGAATAATTGTTTTATTAAAAACGCCCAAAAAATATTGAGAATTCTTCCCGACTGTATTTGTAAAAACAACCGATTTTCAGCTTGTACAGTTTATACCATATTTGGAGAGCATGGGAATGGCTCATGTACCATGATGGCTGAGCCAATCAGAGCTTTAGAATTCGACTCCCAAAAATACTCGAACGACTCTACCTCGCTATTAAACTCGCATCAAAATCGATTTCCCCTTGATTTATTTCATAGATTTAATGTAATTTTACCCTCGGTAACTCGAAGTCCCTTCAGATCGGTTCATGATCGACCATGTCTTTTGTTAGGCGGGTGACAAGTAAAAAATGGTGTACTGCAGTCCAAAACATTGAATTTAATATTAATATATCGTGTATTCTTTGTCTTTACTTTTTTGTCAGTTCAGTTCAAATACAGTCTCCAGCCCTGTATATTATTCAAGCTTTGTTTCTAAAAATTTTCCCCCCCTAAAAAAAAAAAAAAAAAAAAAAAACGCCTGATCGCAGGTTACGCTTGAAGTGAAGTGTGCATGATGGCTTGCATTCGTTCTTCATCCCATTTCCCTATTTTCGTTTTTTTGCTTCGACCTGCCTATAACTCAAACTTTTTTCGACTTCCCTTGAAGGTTCGATTTACCGGGAGTCGACTGTGGAAATCAGGGAGGTCAGTGCAGCGTGTGAAACATGGAAACTGACGGAAAGGCAATAATATTGCGGTCGACATGATATTATATTTCTTAGGGCGGGGGAGGGGGAACTGCATACTTTCTCTGCCTTCATAAACAACGTAAAACGGCGCACCAAGTTTTGCAAGCACTTTGCTTGATCAGTCCTTGCAGCTGTCTCTATTATTGACAACACCAATACTTCGGAGAAAAAAAAGTGTTTGGACGCTTTTGCGACCTGATATACAGCAAAACCTGCGTATAAGAACCAACTGTTTTGAAGTCTGGAAAAAAGGTTCTTGTATTTTGCGGTACTTTTTAGTAATTTAGGCAAAGCAGGTTCTTAATCAGGTTCTTAATTTCTATGAATGATTTATAGTTATTGCATGACTACCAGAAAAATAAAGAAACTTGAGTTTGGTCCTTGAATATAGAGTGTTTATTCACAACTATACATTGCAAACCTCCTTTATACAAAACCCATGAAGACAATTCAAGTCTCGATATACTAGTAATGCATGGTTCAACTTAGACCTGTTACCATGCCTCCTGGGCATACTCCGGGGATTTGCAAGATTTTTTGTTTCTTGGTGGTCTGTTCCCCACCCCTGAGCGCGCAAAAAGAAACACTTTCCTACACCCGAGCTCCTGATCGACCTTATATACGTCTTTTTCGGGTATATCTTTTTGAGATCAATAATTGATTTCCGTAAACGAGACATTTTCATAACTTTTATAAACGTTTTGTAGAGTTTATTTAGAGAAGGATGATACGTGTATAATGTGGGTAAAGCATGTACAATAAACTTGAAAACGAAAAAGCGCGAAGAAAAAACTCCCAAGGGCCTACGTGATATGATCGAACACTTCATAAGAACACTGGACTGAATCTCTGTTTATCTATATATATTAAAAGTCTAGTATACAGTCTATTTATGTTGTCTTTTTATTAAACAAGCCTGAAGAAATATTTCTTCGTTTCTTTTGCAAAAAAAAAAAAAAGAAAAAAGAATCATTCGAGTACTTATCAAACCCACATTCGTTTGAAATTTTGAAACATACCTTCAAATACAGACTTTAATCTTGACAGGTTATTCCTTTCCAACTACTCTTCGACAAATTCCTGCGTTTTCCCTTAAAATTATATAGTCTTTAAGTCCGCAGCCATCATGCAAACCGCGCAAGAGATGACATGTACTTCGCAAAATCAGAGAGAAGTTATTTTTTGATTTGCCCCACCCCCGTACTTCCGGGACAGGACCGCTTTAAGCAATTCCCCACCCCCCGGGCCCGAAAATCTGGACTTGTCCCGGAGGTTGCCCGGGGGAATGGTAACAGGTCAAACTGAACCACGCATAAATGAATCTCGCTAGAAACTCATGCCCTTTTCGCCCTAGTAGATATTTACGCTATTGATAAAATAGTAAATGAATCTAGCTAGAACGTCATGACCTTGTAACTAAAGAAATTTCAAGAAACTTTTACCTGTTGATATGATGCTTAATGCCAAATCCCCCCTTCGTAATCGTACTTTATGTGGCAAGGCAAGGTGAAACGCGAGCAAGAGTTATTAAATGGAATGGATGGAATCGCACCATATATAGCCAATAACCCCACAGGCAACCCAAGCTGATTTAGCATACAATAGAGCCAGGCGCCCATCCTGATAGAGCCTATTGCAATAGTTTGCTTTCGGAAAATTTTGCTCACAGGAACTGAAAGAGCATATTAAAATTAAGTTTACCAGTAAATTGTCGGTTGCTTCTGTAGGTACCGATGCACAGATTACTGACAACAAAAGAAACGATACATCGAGATACAACCAAACAATAATGCACCCAGGAGAAATCTATTGTTTGGTCCCCTTGATTCTTTTGTGATGACGGTACCTGCAAAAGACCCAAATTCTCAGCCGTATACATGTATCTCAAAAGTAGCGATTTCAACGGTCACTAGAAATTAGAAGAATCAGGAACCCATCATTTATGGGCTCCTGGAAGGATTTGTTAGCCTGCGAAAACAGCCATATCTCTTCGCCCCTGGCCGTTAGGGAGGTTTTAGCATGTTCTATGTTTTCAGATAGTAGAGATGACGCGAAAGTGAAAGGCACGCGAAAATATGAGCTCCTTATTTTCGTCGGAGAATTCCCTTTACGACAATCAGTTACTAAATCATCAAAATAAGAATTAATAAGATAAACGTCAAATTAAATATATTTTGACGTTTACAAAGTTTAAAAATCTAAAAAAATAGCTTTACACATTGCTGTTTTACAGCGCCGGTGAACAAAATGTATTACCATGTGAAGTATATGAAATATATTACCGTACTAAAGTTGTTCCCTCCTATATCAAAGACAAAATTTTCTCACTCAATATGTACAAAGCTATTTTCAAGTTTCAAAAGGCACCATACACCCTGTTCAGTGATTTTACCTCAATAATTGAGTAATTATGGCTGCCTCAAATCTCGTCATCATATCCGATGTTAAATATACTTGGTTTTTATCTTACATTTTATGTTGCACAGATTGTATACCACAAGATTACATCAACTAACATTTTAGGTCGGGTGATAGATGGACAAACTGTCTTATTTTTCCCAACAGTTAGAGGAGCTGTGTCAAGAAATTTACCAAAACTCAAACAGTGAGAACTACGGATATCAAAGTGAGTGAAACATAAAGATTCCCGCTCAAAACGTTAAAAGAAGGAATAAACAACGCAGAAAAAGCAAAAGGAAACAGAAATGGATAAACTTGAGAAGATTGAAACGGATTGCAGTTGCGGGTTTTGAAAACTTTTTAGCCTAACAGTTTTTAAGTGCTCAATTTTGGAGCGTTTGAGATAATGCTTGGGAAACATATTTGTTAGGCACGAAGCTGTGATTTTCTTATTCACCCAAGGAGTAATTTCTCCAGTTCCATAGGGAATAAGGAAGCACAATTTGGCATTTTAATCAAAATAGGGAGCTTAAGCCAAGAAGTTTTTGAGCAACCTCCTTACCACGTTCTCCCTCGCTCCCTAGCGAGGGGTAGGAGAGACCCTTGGGAACGAGGTTGGTTTTTGAGCGACGTACGTCAACCGGAAGTGAACCCTTTCAGTCGTTTTAATATGCCATGACGCTAAGAAATTTGTCAAGCTAAGTGTCTTTACTATTGTTAAAACGATTTGCCAGAACATTTGGGAAACATCGCTCCGCGAGAATGCTAAACGTCCACTTCCGGTTGACGTACATCGCTCAAAAACGTCCTTGCTTTGAAAGCTCCCTAATAAACTACAGGGGCGCCCAAAGACGATTTCCTCCTAAATACACTGAAAACACTTTTTGGGCTATCCAGAGTACTTTTACATCTCTAGAAATGCATTCTGAGAGGCGCTACAAAATTTGTATCTGTTCGGTCATCCTAAGGGAACTTCAGTCTTTTCGAAATTACAAGGGCTTCAGTATTATCTTCCCGAAAATTTTAGATGCAATTTGACGTATCGCTAGACTACAAGTAGTCCCCCATTTTTCCTCAGAGATAGTAAAGCGAGCGAAACGCGAGCGCGCGTGAAAATCACCCCACGCGAGAAAAGGCGACACGCGGGTGGGAGAGAGTTCAAAAGCTTGGGCTTTGTTTGTAGTCCCTCATTTTCCTCTCTCCCCGCCGCGTGTCGCCTTTTCTCGCGTGGTGTGATCTTCACGCGCGCTCGTGTTTCGCTCGCTCTACTGTCCCTGAGGAAAAATGGGGGACTACTCGTAGTCTAACGTAACGCCAAAGTGAGACATTTTCTGATTTCTCTCTCCATCGCATTTTTGAATCCGAAAAGTTCAGGTTTCCTTTTCTCTACGAAAAATAGCCTAACTTGGGAAGTGATATGGGAAAATGAAAAGCTTCGAAAATTGTACATGAATGGAACGGGCATCTACAAATTCTTAGCCGTCCTCAAGAAATAGAAAATTCTAACAGTCGTTGGGTGCCCCTGAAGCTGCGTCGAAGTGACACAACCCCTTTAACATCAGTTCGCTGAAGACTTTCATTCCCAGCTCTAATCTCGTTTAACCCTCCGGTTTGAAACTTGTAGGCCGAAAAACCAACCTGGCACCTTATCTATGTATTAACATTATGTCTACATTTTATTCCTTCTGTCATTGACATCAGTGATGTGGGTTGGACTTGACCGCTGGTTTCAAACTGTCCGTAGGTTCAACGGTTTTCACAGCCTGAATATCGCTGCATGTAAAGTAATCCGGATTCCGTAAAACGTGGAAAATTGTTGCTTGTGGAGACCGGAATCCTGGGTTTTGGAATCCGAAATACAGCTCAAGGAATTCGGAATCCCCCTTACAACTGGAATCCAGAATCCAAGTTTCACTGACATGGATCCGGAATCCACTACGCGGAGTCCAGAACCCAAGACGGTCTTAAATGACCTTACAGTGGGTGGTGGGGGGCGACTGAATTACCCCAAATAATTTAATACCCCTCGTATCATCTCTTGGATGACTTTTTTCCCGAGGGAGGTCTGGGTGATTTTGATGTTGGCGTCGAAGGCCTCATTGGATACTGAGCAAGAACAGTCTTTCGAGGCGACTTCGCGGTAGATTTTTTCTTTCCCTCTTCTTTTTTCCCCGCTGGTTTGGCCGATTCTGGTTGAAGCAAGCTCTTAATTTCGTCGCTTTCCTGTCCTGAGCCGGCTACGACAGCCAAACATCTCGCAAGGTTCGTTTGTTCCAAGTCCTTTTTAGAAAGAAGCTGCATAATATCACGACCATCGTCCAGGGGGTTTAGCCAAGTGGATTTACGAACATCAGCCAGATTCATTTTCGTACCTTTTGGAACATAAATCTGAAATAGCACTTCTACTGCTTCAGCTTTTGTGAGATTTCGGCCCTTCGCAGACACTAAGGAGAAACAAAAAGTCAACGTTATGCTACTGGACCTCAAGCACCTCCTTTTTTGTTTTAAGTCAATCGAGCAAAAACCGAAAGAGAAGAATATGGCCACAAAGGAGACTTGTTTATACGATACTTCCGTCGTCTTAAAAATGTGAATTTGGGAGGTTTTACATCGTAGTCATGCATTGGCGGCAAAGAAATGTACTAAGAAGTGTGATGCACGTGCAGAATTGTCGTTTTGTCCATTACGAGTTTAGGTCGCCCACACAAGCAACGAAGACCACGACGACAACAAGAACATAAACTAAAAAGGTGGGTTATGTTCTCGTTTATCGTCACAGTCGTCGTTGCTTAAGCTTTTCATATCCTCCGCGACCTTAACTCCTCAGTTTTTTGTAGAGTAGTAAACATCATCCACTATTAAACACTTCAAACTATGATCACGTGACTTACTCTTAGTGACGAGCTCTATGGCATCATCGATTTCTTTCTGTGAAGGTACATGTCCAACAGACTCGAAGAACTTTTTGATGTCTTTATACTCCAGGACACCACCAGTGGCAAACTTATCAAATGCCACTTCGTACTCTGAAACGTACGAAACTCGTATGTTAACAAAGGAAAAGACAAACTTAATAAGCGAAATCAATTACACCAACGATTCAAACAAATACTTCAAATTACACACACTAAACAATGTTGAAGGGAGGGGAAACCATGTGGGGTGGTTATCATTTGCACACATGTCCCACCCGGGTGGAAATCTTTTGCGTAAGCATAAAACGATAAACATTTGAAGTGATGGGAGAACGACCCGCCACAAAGTATATCCAGATCAACTGAACAGACTAAAAATAGTAGAAAAATTGCATCGCCTCAAATCGTAAAACGGAATAGCGCTAGCCTGCGTCGCAAGCGTTTCCGATCCACTTACTGCGCGAAAGTTGGAGCTAGAGCAAAAAACGCTCTCGTCTCAACTTTCTCAACGAACTGGCGCGGGAAACGCTTGCAGCACAGACTGTAGGGAAGGAAAACCATTTGATTTTCAAACCGGAATTTCCGGTTTTCCCATGTAAATTGTAAGTGCTCCAGGTTGATATTTTAAATCTCCTGGAACAGTTTCGCATCAGAGCTGAACCGTGCATACGTACTATTTAAGCGTTCCACATACTCCATCAACTCGTTAAACTGTAGAGCGGTGCTTGGCTCTTTGACTCCATACCGCTTCTGTATTCGGTAGAGTAGGGCCTGATAACCTTTGATAAACTTGTTGTAGTCAAGCGTCCGCTTCAGAGCCTGTAGACAAACAAGTTAATTCAGATATTAATCAGTTAGTCATGTTTGAGGAAAGCGGTGAAAAACTATTTCATTCCCCTTTTACTGCAAGACAGATTTACGGTGAGATGACTCGTCGCTAGCCTGAGTAAACAGACGACATTTTGCGTCGCCACCACTGGTTTCCCCGTGAAATGACGTCTGAGAAACGAGCGCAGAAATTCCATACTGATGACGTGTCACTACCCACATCTATGTACTGCTTCTGATTGGTCGTGCCGCTTGTGAATTTTGCTTTAACCAATTCAAATAAAACCTCTTTGGTTGAACTCTTGCATAGTACTATTTGTTTCAAAAGATTTTACAAATTGATATTTGGAATCTTTTAATAATTTTCACTTTGGCCATTGTTAGGTATGATAGATTTTATGTTAAACGATCAAGGGTGGGCTGCTCGAAGAAGTTTTCATTTCATACTGACCAGATCGTATTAAAAATTCTACAGGGTAACTGTTTATACATGGTTTTGTCATGAACGCAGGAGA